TTGTGCCTGTAACTTCACAGCCTACATGGACAGATGTTTCTGTAGGATGTCCCCTGGTGGTGGTTTGCTGATCAGAGAGTAGATGTATCTTTTGACTTATTGGAGTCTGCCAATTTTTCAAAAGTGGTTTTACCTGTTTACTCTTTCACAAGCAGCTCTTGTTGTTCCACATTCTTGCCAGCATTTGATATTATCATCTTTAAAGATTTTATCATTTTTAAATATTTGGCAAAATTTGTGGGTGTGTAGTAGTGACTTATGTGGTTTTAATTTGAATTTCTCTGGATTACTTATGAAAGAACATTAAAAAAAAAAGTTTGGGATGTTTGGATACCTGATTGACCTGGCATATTAAATGAGAAGTCCATCCATTCCCCATAGCGCTGCAGTGCATCTTCCTCATAAATCAGATGTCAGTGTATCGGTTTGTTTGGGGGCTGTCTATTCTGTTCAGTGAGTCTGTCTGTCTGTACCAGCACCAATACCACCCAGTCTTCATTACTATAGTTCTGTATTAATTCTGCATTTCTGGTGGACAAGATCTACACTTTTGTTCTTCTTTAAAAGGGCCTGGGCCGGGGTGCCTGGATGGCTCAGTTGGTTAAGCAACTGCCTTCAGCTCAGGTCATGATCCTGGAGTCCCGGGATCGAGACCCGCATCGGGCTCCCTGCTCAGTGGGGACCCTGCTTCTCCCTCTGACCCTCCCCCCATCTCATGTGCTCTCTCTCTCTCTCTCAAATAAATAAATAAATAAAATCTTTAAAAAATAAAATAAAATAAAGGAGCCTGGGCAGTTTTTTTTTTTGTTTTTTTTTTTTGTTTGGCCTTTTGTGCTTCCATAGAAATCTTTTAACCAATTTATGAAATTGAAAAAAATTTCCTGTTGGATTATTTTGTGACTAGATTGAATAATTGTGATTATATTGTGATTATATTGAATAATTGTGATTATACTGAATTTGTAGTTGATTTGGTTTCAACTGAGATATAATGAACATCTTCCCATTAATACTATTTTTGTCATTGATTTCTTTTTTTTTAAAGATTTTATTTATTTATTTGAGAGGGAGAATGAGATAGAGTGAGCATGAGAGGGGGGAGGGTCAGAGGGAGAAGCAGACGCCCTGCTGAGCAGGGAGCCCGATGTGGGACTCGATCCCAGGACTCCAGGATCATGACCTGAGCCGAAGGCAATCGCTTAACCAACTGAGCCACCCAGGTGCCCTTTGTCATTGATTTCTAATGGAATCCCATTGTAACCAGAGAATGTATTTCATATAATTTAAATCTTTGGAGATTTGGTGAGCCTTGCTTTTTGGCCCAGTATACAATCAGTTTTTGTAAATGTTACACATGCGGATTCTGCAATCAATCGTTTTGGTTTTGGGTTTTTTTTTTTAAGATTTCATGTATTTATTTCACAGAGAGCGATAGTGAGAGCAGGAACACAAGCAGGGGGAGTGGGAGAGGGAGAAGCAGGCTTCCCGCTGAGCAGGGAGCCCAATTTGGGGCTCGATCCCAGGACCCTGGGATCATGACCTGAGCTGAAGGCAGACACTTAACGACTGAGCCACCCAGGCACCCCTGCAATCGATAGTTTTATTGTCTAAGTAGGACTGGTTAGTTTTTTGGGTTTTTTTAAAAAAGATTTTACTTATTTAGGTGCGCCTAAGGTGGCTCAGTTGCTTAAGCATCTGCCTTCTGCTCAGGTCATGATCTCAGGGTCCTGGGATTGAGCCCCGCATTGAGCTCCCTGCTCAGCGGGGAGTCTGCTTCTCCTCTCCCTCTGACCCTCCTCCCTGCTTGTGCTCTCTCTCTCTTAAGAGAGAGGGCGCACACACACCAGTGCAAGTGAACACTGGTCATGGGCCACTCCTTCCTTTATGAAACCCTCTTTTCTCTCGGCTTCCATAATATCCCATCCTCCAATTCAGACATGAGTGACTTGAAAAATAAGGTCCACACAGAACCCACTTTGCTGGTAAGGGTGGTATCAGAGTAACGGTGGTTGCAAGGTCAGGCTCCTGACACAAAAATGGCATCCTTGGTGTAAACAACAGTGGGAATATCTCCTACTGCTCAGTCAGGCAGCAGCAGGGATGGTGGATGCCTCAGCAGTTATGTTCAGAGCGTGGTGTAGGGTATAATTCCTAGAAGCTTAGCATTCAAGCTTGCTTTTCAAGTCTCCCAGCAATATTTGGGGTATGCAGAATCCTCCTATTAATATCTATTATTCTTTACTCAGCCAAATTATCTTCTGTCTCTGCAAAGTAAGAACTCTGATTAATCAGAGTAAGTGATTATACTGCCCCTGGTAACTGGCAATTACAGTTTCATATGGTAAGTGTTCGTGAACTATGAGAGTATACAGGATAGGCATGTGGTCCAGCTTTTGGGGCCTAGGGAAGAATTCCACAAAGGGAAGATACTTGAGCTGAGTTCTAAAACAGGATTGTGAATTAGCCAGGCACAGAGCATTCTAGGACATTCTAGATAGAAGGGCATTCCAGGCTGGGAAACAGAGATGGTCAGGGATGATATAATCACATTTTTGAGATGGGGATGGGGTGAGGGGTGAGGGAAGAGGTGAGAGAGCAAAATTAAGCAAGAAGATCCCTGAGGATTTGTATACTATGCCCAAAGTGGTGTCCTGGACTAGTAGCAGGGCTTGAGCCCTTGACTCACAATGTATACCCTGGGAAAAGGTAGATGCTTGACACTTCCTGGCTATGGTTTTAGATGAGTACTTACTTGTATTCAGCTCTTAGCCTTGCCTGAAAATTCAGGGAAGAGCTAACTGAAAGTGACCATAGCCCATGATGGAAACCCCTGACCCAGAAAGAAACCAGCATGCTGGATCCCCCACCTTGCAAACTCCTGAGCACAACTCCCCTCCCTTAGTCAACTCTGACCCAACTCAACCAAATTCCATTCCCTTAGAGACCTTGTTCTCTCAAGTTCTCCCCTAGACAACCCTCCTTCCCTTCCCATGTCTTCTATTATTTAGTTAACAGAACACTTTTCTCCAAAGCGGTATCTTACTGCTCTATATGGATAGATGTTTTCGTGATTTGTCCCGCATAGCCGGCCACCTGGACCTCCATGTGCACAGGCAGGCTAAGGAATATTGTTTGTGAGACTTATGCTGTGTGAATGACCTTGGGACTCTTGTGGTTTGAAATATATTATCTGGCCTCCAGGTCAGAACTGGCCCTTCTGTTCTGGATGCCAAGAGCTACAAATCTTGTCCCACATCCCCTCCTGCTCCAGGCTGGGTTGGACCCCCCAAATGGAATCCAGGAGGGGAGGCAGACACACATAGCCCAAGCTCCTTGAAAATATAGAAAAATGATAACATAGAAATGCAGCTCGCTCCAAACTGCACATAGGCGAACAAATGTTTAATTTCAAACCCCGTTATTTGCCCTATAAATATGGCCCTTTTGGGGATGGTCAGTTGGAAGTCTCACCTGACGGGAGGACGCTGCACGCAGGCCTCTCAATCGGAACTCCAGCCTGGCTGTTTCCACAGGTTTTCCCCAGCTGATGAGGTTGGTTGTTGTAAGTACCTGATTTGATGTAACTTTGCCTTATTCTCATTTATTGCCTACTGTTAACTTTCATCTATATGTAGATTCCTTTCCTCTTCTGTTTCTGTTAGATTTCTATGATAATAATGCAGTTTTCTTTCCTTTTTGGAACTGAAACACAGCTGTTGTGAATCTTTTGTTCAGAACGCTTAACTTTACTGGGAAAGAAAACATTTTATATCCCTTCGTGTTGGCCTTGCTCCTAGAAAACCTAAGGCTGAGTTGATTGCTCACATGGAGCAATTTCTAAGCAACAAGTTCAATTACTGGTTTGTCTACCTCTGCCATTAGATACACAATTGTCTCTCAGCTCCAAACTTAGCCTTCTATGCTCGACTTTGTGAGTCTGGGGCTTGGACTCTGCAAACATCTCTGCTCTACCTGCTAGTTGCCTCTTAGGACCTTCTAATAGAGGATGCCAAAGGGAGAGGGCAAGGCTCCAGGAAAGAGAATGGGACTTGCTATTCCCGTTTGCTTCTTATGGGATTGCTGCTTGTGTCCTGTTCCAGTGAGCATCAGCTACCCTCCTCATGCTGACAGCACCTGGTCCTTGCAGGAGGTCCTTTCCAACACTTTCAGAATGAGTTGAGCAGTGCCCTTCCGCAGAGGTCTGAGTGTTGTCTCCATGGACTCCTACGTTTCTTAGTATTCATCATTCTAACAACTTCTCTCAGCTCCTTCAGTACCAAGGGTGGTGGCTGCTTCCTGCAGTTGGAATCTACACAACACCGTAGTGTTATCATTCTGCTTTTCCAGTTACCTTTGCACAACTCTGTATAGCCGGTTAATGATTCTTTATATTAAATTCTCTGATCTGGTGGGATTTCTGTCTCCTTACCAGACCCTGACTGGAATACTTTCCTCTCTGCTTTCTGAGGTCCTTTTTGTAAATCAATCTTTCTTATTTTGTCTGATCAAATAATTTGTATTATATATTTTGGAAATAGAATCAAAATAATATTTTCCTATATAATCTCTGGATTTCAACGTTTCTTTTTTCCCCCGACCTCTCATGTAATTCCTACAGCCACAGCATTGGGAACCCTTCTCCCAGCTTGAGCCCCTTTTCTCCTCTTAGTGCTTGAGTGGTACAAAGAAGACAATGAAAATTCAGACTCAGGGAAAAAGCACTCAGTCTTTAACCAAGGACATCATCCCCTGCACATTCCCCACATCTGCTTAGGTGTGGGATTCAAGTCTAGTTTCTCTTTAGAAAGGAGACATACATGGCCCTCTCCCCAGTATGTTGTTTTGTTCTACAGATGTCAGTAGAAAAGGCTTTCTAGTGAGTGGGAAGAGGAAGTCATTATTCTTTGTCTGGGGGTTTGGACCATAGTGTTCTACAGTGGTTAAGCTCCTCTTTCCCGCAGACTTATTTCCACATTTCTTCTTTGCTGTTGTGTTTTCAGACTCTGAGGTTATTCTGCTACAAAGCGTGGCTCTCTTTCCTACTACAGCTGTCCTCTCTCCACATTTGACTTCATCCTGGGTGCCCGACTGGCTGCATCATCCACATGTTTGGAGCTGCTGCACTTTGGCAATATTTGAAGCATTGGCAGGACGTTACCCTGTGAGTTGCTATGAAGAGAGGAAACAAGACTTTGGGGACTTTGTAGAGGAAGGAAAGAAAGAGCAAGAAGAGCTGAGAGGTATCCTGAGATGAGGTAAGCGGGCTTACGCTTCAGAAAGGAAATGTGAGCAGAGGAAGTAGACGCATGGGCAGACTCAGGTTGAGGGAACAGGGCATTTGGGCTACTTGTCAAGCAACCACTTGTCAAGCATGGATTAAAATCACAATCTGGGCAAATTACTGTCTTTAATGTCATGTGGAATACAAAGAAGGGCACAAGATATGGTGCTTGGTTTTGAGAAAGTGATACGAAAGTGATGGATAATGCCCACAGAAGGAGGTATGAGGCAGTGCCAAGTGGTCAAGAAGACAGGAGACTCCGGTAAGGCTTTAGGGTGGAGAGAGTAGTCAACAGTTTCAAATACTGCTGGGAAACTTGAGAAAGCTAAGGAGAAAGAGACCTCAGAGATGGCAATTAGCACTGGCAACCCTGTGGAAAACTGGAAGCAGGTTCATGGTTGGGGGGCAGGTGAGATGGACCTTTTATTTCTATAAGATTGGAGTATCTCTAGGATAGGATACCAGTGTCCATCCCTGAAAGCCAGTAGCCAGCATCCAACTGTGCAAAGCCAAGGATAATGGCTAAGCTATCTTGGAGTGTGGTATTACACTAGTAAGCCCATAGCTGACCCTGTGGTTCTGTAACCTACCTCATAATTTCCCTGCAGGCTCATTCTCATTCATGAACTGGGTGAAAGGGGAAAGGGAGGTGGCATTGGGTGGCACAGGACCACCATGGTTCTTATTTCCCTTTTTGCTCCTATTGACCACTGCCTGATGCATGGCAATCATCTGGATGGTCCCGAACACAGTGCTGGCTGGGAAACCATGCCTGCGGATTGCCACCCAAATTTCAAAAGTATGTTTAAGTCTATGTATGGTAGTGACTCATCCATTAGCTGAACAAGCTTCTCTGACATGACTTTGCTGGCATCCCTTTGGGGTTTGCATTATGACATCAACTTGACTTTTCCCTGGGCAGCATTTATAATTAGGTAGATTGATTTGTCTTCTTGGTCTGCTGTAGCTGAATGTGTCTGCCTAGGTCCCAGAGCTGTGTTGGGGAGAATATGGAGCCTACAACCTAGTCCCAGGAGTGAAAAGGAGCAGTTGAGTGGTAGGATGTCTGGAATTTCTAAGGGAGGATGGTGGGGATTCCTAGGTCTCCCAACAGCCCCAAGAAGTCAGTGCAGAGGAGAACATAAGCTCCTTCCTAAAGGAGGAGCTGGAGGGGGAGGAATAAAAGAGTAGGCAGCAGTTGCTTTGTGAAGCTAGGGAAGAGATACCTGGCTCTGTCCCAAGTGAAAGTCTCTTACTAGATTTGCCTTAGATTTGATAAGATGTTGAGTAAACATGATGTGGTAATAATCTGGAAGCAGATGCCTGACTGTAGGATGACTGCATTTATTAGAGCAGTGCCAGTAGCTCTTAGATTTTTTTTAATTTTTAAAAAGACTTTATTTATTTATTTATTTATTTATTTGAGAGAGAGAGAGAGAGAGCAAGCACAAGGGGGGAGAGGGGCAGAGGAGAGGGAGAAGCAGATTCCCCTGCTGAGCAGGGAGCCTGACGTGGGCCTCGATGCCAGACCACGGGATCATGACCTGAGCCGAAGGCAGACATTTAACTGGCTGAGCCACCTAGGCACCCCAGTTCTTAGATTTTTAAGGAAGTCTGTCCAACATTATAGGTACAAGAAAGCAGGACTGGAGTTTCTAGGTGCTTGATGAAGGTGAAGGAGGTGTGTGGGTGAATAGAATTGAGGGTCAAGTCCTCACATTTCAAGAAAAGAGATGGAATGGGAATGTATCTGGAGTTTGCTAATAGCCATTGGGGAACTGAATCTCTTTCATGCACTTCCCCCTGCCTCCCATCTTCATTTGGGCAGAAGCTAAAAATCTGCCAGGTGTCTTGTGTTCCTGCTATTACTGTTATTACTGTTATTATTGCTTCACATTTTTATGGGGCCTCATATTTTTTTTTCTTTTTTAGAGAGAGAGTAGAGGGGAAGGGCAGAGGGAGAGGGAGAGAGAGAGAATCCCAAGCAGGCTCCATGCTCAGTACAGAGCCTGACGTGGGACTTGATCTAATGACCCTGAGATTATGACCTGAGCCAAAATCAAGAGTCAGATGCTCAACTGACTGAGCCACCCAGGCGCCTCTGGGGCCTCATAATTTTAATTGCACTTGCATATTATATATTCACTTGGTCTCCACATGAGCACTGTTGGAGACAATAATATGGAAAATTATAATGACATTGGTAACACCACTCACTGGCTTTATTGCTTTGGCCTAGGGCTCTTTGCTGTTCTGGATTAGACAACAGGCAGAAATTAATGCAGACAGTTGAGGTGCCTGAGTGGGTCAGTCAGTGAAGCGTCCACCTCTTGATTTCAGCTCAGGTATTGATCTCAGGGTGGTGAGTTCAAGCCCCATGTTTAAATCAATCAATTAATTAATTAATTAATGCAGAAGGTCAAGAAGAATCTCAGTTTATCCTCAGCTTGATGGTCCCCCATCCTACCCAACAGCCAGGTTGCCACTGCATCTGGCAGAATGAGCTCTTTACCATTCCCAGGATTCATGCTGGACAGTGGAAGGCCTGGTTCTCAAGCTCCAGGCCAGGTTTCCAGTGGAGGTATCTCTCTCTGGCTGTAGGCAACTTGAAAGAGCCCCAAGCCCGTGTGCCCTATATAAGTAGTCCTCTGGGCCCTCCCTTGGCTTTGCTCCTGGGCCACCTGGTCCTTCTTTAGCCCCTACCTCAAGTCCTTGGTCCTCTCCGACTTAAATATGTCACCAGCCCCAAGGCAGTACTTAGGGGTATGCCTATCTTTGCCCTCACTTAATCCTGTCTTTTCTTGGGATCTAGCCTCAATGGAAGAGGAAGGGAATTCCTCCCAAAAAGTGCACTTTTTATTTCCATAGTTAAAATGTGATTGTATAGGAGCACCTGGGTGGCTCAGTCCGTTGAGCATCCAACATTGGATTTCAGCTCAGGTCATGATCTCAGGGTTATGAGATTAAGCCCTGTGTTGGGCTCCATGCTGGACGAGCCTGCTTGAGATTCTCTCTTTCCCTCTCCTGCCCCTCCCCCAATGCTCTCTCTTTCTCTTAAAAAAAAAAGATCATATAAATAACACATGCTTTTTATTTGAATTTGAGTAACACATGGAAATATAAAGAGGAAAATAAAAGACACCTGAAATCTCACTGCCTTGAGAGATAACTAACAGTTTGGTGACCATCCTTTCAAGAACCTCTTTATTCATTCAGGTATACACGTGTATAGTTTTACATGAATGGGATCATATCACATATACTTTGTGTGCATGTGTGTGTGTGCACGCCCGTGCGTTTTAAGTCATGAATTTCTTTCTCCCTATCTCTTCTTCCTAAATGAACACCCTATCCCCCTGTTTCTGTCCTACATATGATCAATATTATTATCTGCTGTGTACCCTTCTATATTCTTCATATCCAATTGCTATCATACAGATATATATGTATATTTATGTATCTGTGATTATATAATATGCATATACTTTATAAATAAATAGGTTTTTTTCTTGGTTTTGAAATGTGATATACTTTAATCCATACTTTCTTTCATCACCTTGCTTTTCTTTTTTAAGATTTATTTATTTCAGAGAGAGAGAGAGCACACAAGCTAGAGGGGCAGAGGGAGAGAACCTCAAGCAGACTCCACAGAGCACCAATCCCACAACCATGAGATCATGACCCAAGCCAAAACCAAGAGTCAGACTCTCAGCTGACTGCACCACCCAGGCTCCTGACCTTGCTTTTCTTATTTAGTAATACCTTATGTTCACACTTCCAAGTTACCCACTGTAATTCTATTCCATATCAACATTTCATTTCATAACATGGTAGAATCCCCCAAATGATACACATATGTTTGGTTTCCAGTCGGGACCACTGTGAACAATGCTGCAATAAATATCCTGTTCCTTTCAAATAAGTTCTTTTATTTCTCTAGGATAGCTATCTAAGAGCCAGAACTGCTGGTTCAAAAGTATATGCATTTTAAATATTAATAGATATGGCCAGATTGCCTTCCAAAAAGGCTTGAACACTTCAAAGTTTCACGAGCATAATTTCTTTTTCTCCTTTCATTTCCTCCACATTCCAGGCAGAAATAGAGAATTATTTCTCATTGTTGTTTTAATTTATAGTTTTCTGGCTTCAAATGAATTTAAGCATCTGTTCCTATGGCTGGCTGTTTGGCAAATTGACTATGACTTTTGCCCCTTTGTCTATGAGATTGTTCATCTTTTTCTAATCAATTTGTAAGAGTTCTTTGTATATTATAGAAGTTGTGGTGGAGAGAACACTTCTTCCCCACTTTTGATGTTTCCACCTAGGAGGGACAGACATTAGTGTAATGTTTCTGTCAGCTCTAAACTCTTCATTCATTTCCCTTCTGGGGTAGAGAGACTGAATCTGACTGGTGAGTTTGGGAGGAGAGGTTGGATGTGGTAAGCCCAGACCCTTCTTATCTGTGTTTTCTGGGAGTGAGATGTCACTCAGAGTATATGTTCTTAATTGCACTCCACTGTCTTTTAATTGGTGAGTTTAACCTATTGACATTTATTGCAATGACTGTATAAATTAGGACTTGTTTCTTCTGTTTTATTTCAAATTTCCCATTTATCATACTTTCTTTTTTTCTCCTTCCCTACTTTCCAATGGATGAATCAAATTTTTTTCCTGATGTTTTAAACATTTTTACATTCTATTTTTAGTCTTATATTCATTACTTGTACTTATGTTTACCTACCTCTATTGATGTCTTATGTTTACTTACCCCTTATTGATTTTAACATAGTACTGGAGGTAGTGAGGGAAAATAAGTAAGAAAGTGAAATAAAAAGCATGTAGATTTGAAAGGAAGAAGTAAAACTCTCTATTTTCCAGATGACATGAACTTGTATAAATAAAATTCTAAGGAATACACTAAAAACTATTAGAGCTGATAAACAAGTTCAACAAGGGTGCAAGAATCAAGATTAATACGCAAAAATAAATTATATTCCTAAACACTATGAGTGAACAATCCAAACATAAAATTTTAAAATAATTTCATTCATAATAGCATCAAAAAGAAGTATATCATTATCTGTATATTCCCCTTTGAACAATACAAATACTTTAGTATACTCTCACATCCCCTAATCTTACCCTATCCACCATCTCCACTATGTTGATATTGTGTAAAATTTAGTTATGAATTATATGGATATACATGTTTTTCTTTTCTTCTCTCTAGTCCCTATTTTTTCTCCTTTTTATTGAGGTATAGTTTGCATATGGTCAGTTGCACAGATTTGTGTATAACTAATTTGGACAAATATATGTAATATGTAAAACCATCGCCCAATTCAAGATAAAGGACATTTCCAGAATGTCCCTCATGCTCCCTTAGGGTCAGCCCCTTCCACCAGAGCCAACTGCTATTATGATTTCTATCACCATAGATTAGTTTGCCTCTTCTAGAATTTCTTACTAAGGGGTGCCTGGGTGGCTCAGTCAATCAAGTATCCAACTCTTGATTTAGGCGCAGGTCATGATCTCAAGGTCCTGGGATCAAACCCCGCATCCAGCTCCATGCTCAGCAGGGAGTCTGCTAGAGATACTCTCTCCCTCTCCTTCTGCTCCTCCCCCTGCTTGCACTGTCTCTCTAAAATAAATAAATAAATCTTAAAAAAAGAATTTAGAATTTCATGCTAAAAGAATCATGTAATATGTGCCTTTTGTGTTTTGCTTTTTTCACTCAACCTTGTATTTTTGACAGTCGTTCATGTTGTTGCATTTATCAGTAGTCATTTTCTTTTTCTTGCTAGTTGTTATTCAATTGTATGAACATACCAAAACTTGCTTATCTAATCTTCCACTGGTGGATATTTGCGTTTTCTTTTTCAGTTTGGGAATATTATGAATAAAACTGCTATGAATATTCTCATATGTTTCTTGTGGACATAAATAGAATTGCTGGATCATAATTGCTCCAAGGGTGTGCTGGAACTTCTCCACTAGACACCTGAACTTTTACAAAAGCCCTCTCATCCACAGTGACTGTCATTATTGGTCTTGATAGGGGAGACAGTAGAAAACTCTTATTTCACCATGTTTATAATGACACTCCTTCTGATTTTACACTTTTACCTATCTAGGGTCTTGATCACCTACCAGATGTCTAGTAAACAACTCCAGGCTCCCACAGACCTATTCATCAGACAGTTCAAGTGGCACATGACTGTGGTTGTGGGATCAGTCATTGCAATTTGTGTAAGTATATTTCCTTCCACTTGTCTCTGTCTGTCCATAAAGCTTGAACCAACTGCTTTCATCTAGGAGAAGGAGACTGAGGGAAGCTCTCCATTTTGTCATCCTTTTTTCCTCTTTGTAATCCAGAAACAGAAATGACAAAGAGGGACAAGCTCTTAGAAAAAGAATGAGCAAATTATATCAGGTAGGGGTAGCTGTAATGGAGTCCAAAACATTAGCCCAAAAAGCAGTTTGCTTGAGGGGAAGATGGAAACTTGAGCTATCCATGCTTTCTCTTTCCCCAGTGTGCTATATTTCTGCTCCAGCTTATGTGGCTCCTTTCTAGTTCTTAAAACTGAGATAGCCTCCATACCTTGTCTCTAAGGATACCCTGCTCTCCCTCTCTACCTCTGTGCATATGTAGAAGTTTTTTTTTCCCCTTGGTTCTGCTGAAAAAGAGTTGAATTCTTCAAAAAGAAGCTTTACCAGGAATAAACAGGGAAAAAGGTAAAAGAAACCTTAAATATATAAATCTGTGTATTTACAAAGGACAAATCATTTATGTTAAGCTAAATAACAACTGTCTTCAAACTGAGTTGCTTCTACAGCTCCTTTTTCTGGGTGTTGAAAGTTTTTGTCATTTAGCCTGGGATAAGTTCATGTTGTTGCTATGACTAGTTCTGGTGAAACTGAGAATCTCTTCTTGAGCATCCTTTCTTGTTTTGGGTTCTTTATCAGAGAACAGGAGATGATAATTCAGTAGAAAAGTGCTGTCTTAGAATAGAGTGTATATTTTAGGGATATGATCCTGACAGAGGAAAAGATTACCCCAAGAGATGGCATTTCCTCATATCACTATAAACCCTTGGTGTTTATGGAAGAGGGCAGTCAAGAGGGGTGGCAGCTGGGCAAGAGCAGGAAAAGTTTGGGAAATTGGTTTCATACAAGGAAATCAGGTAAGTAAGTAAATGCATTCAGGATAATGAGAAACCAGTTTCTCATTGTTGAAGGAGTTACAGATATGGAAAGGGGAAGACTAGAATAGACCCTGAGGTGTTGAACTGGAATTGAAGGGATAAAGGGAGTTATTTTATAATGTTAAAAAGGAGCAATTCACCAACCCATCAAGAGGACATAACAGACCTGTTTATGCACCTCATAGCAGAGTTTCAATATATATGAAACAAAAACTTGTAGAACTTCAAATAAAAATAGATTCACAATTAGAAATTTCAGTATCCCTTCATCCATAATTGAAAGCACAGGTCAACAGAAAATAAGTTAACAGAAGATTTGAACCAACTTGACCCAATTGTGTCATTTATAGAACACTCCTCACAACAGCAGAATACACATTCTTTTCAAGTGCACATGGAATGCTTACCAAAATAGATTAAATTCTGAATCATAAAACAAATCTAAATAAATTAAAAATATTTCAAATCAAGCAAAACTCTGTTATCTGACTACATTTAAAATACATTAGAAATCAGGGTGTCTGGTTGGCTCAGTCGGTTAAATATCTCAGCGCAGAGTCTGCTTCTCCCTCTCCCTTTCCCTCTGCCCCTCCCCCCACTCATGCTCTCTCTATCTCTGTCTCTCAAATAAGTAAAATCTTTAAAAATCAATCAATAACATTCAAAATCAATAACAGAGATTTCTAGAAAATCCCCCCAATATTTGGAAACTAGATAATATCTAAATAGTCCATGGGTCAAAGGAAAAATCTTAAAGGAAATTATGAAGTATTTTGAATGGATGGAAAATAAAAACAGACCTATTAATTTTGTGGGATACTCAAAGGGAAATTTATAGCACTAAACACCTTTGTCAGAAAAGAAGATCTCAAATCAATGAACTCAGTTTCTACCTTAAGAAACTGAAAAAGAAGAGCAAATTAAGCCCTATGTTAGCAGGAAAAATATATATATCAAAACAGAAATAAATAAAATAGAAAACAAAAACATTATGGAAAATAAATTGAAACCTGGTTCTGTGAGAAGATCGATAAAACTGATAAACCTCTAAAAAAAAATAAAAATAAATTTTAAAAACCCCTGATAAACCTCTAGTCTAAAATCATGAGGAAAAAAGAATAAAGACAAAAAATATCAACATTAGGAAAGCAAGGCGTATCTCAATAAGTATTCTACAGATATTAAAATAATGAGACACTATGAACAAATGTAAGCCAGTAAATTTGACAACTTTGATGTAATAGACAAATTCCTTAAAAGATACAAACAACAAAAGATGACTCAAAAAGCAATATAGGGGCACCTGGGTGGCTCAGTCGTTAAGCGTCTGCCTTGGGCTCAGATCATGATCCCGGGGTCCTGGGATCGAGCCCCACATCGGGCTCCCTGCTCGGTGGGAAGCCTGCTTCTCCCTCTCCCACTCCCCTTGCTTGTGTTCCCTCTCTCGCTGTGTCTCTCTCTGTCAAATAAATAAATAAAATCTTTTTTAAAAAAAAGATTAAAAAAAAAAGCAATATATAGCCTGAATAGCCCTATATCTATTATAGAAATTGAATTAGTGGTTAAAAAACCTTCCTGGAAGAACACGTCATTACCAAGTGGAGTTTATCCCAAGTGTGCAAGGCTGATTCAACATTCAAACATCAGTAAATATAATTTACCACTTTAAAGGCCTAAGGGAAAAAAATATATGATCATCTCAATAGATGCAGAAAAAGCATTTGATGAAATTCAACATCTATTCATTATTAAAAGTCTTAGCAAAGGAGAAATAGAAGAGAATTCACTTAACTTGGGAGAGGGAATCTACTTAATCATATGTAATGGTTAAAGACTGAATGCTTTTCCCAGGGATCTAGAATATGGCATGGATATCTGCTTTCAGCACTCCCCTTACACATTGTACTGGAAGTCTTAACCAGTGCAATAAGGCAAGGGGGAAAATGGTATACAGATTGGAAAGGAAGTAATAACTCCCTTTCTATTCACAGAAGACATTATTTCTCATTTAGAAACCCCCAAGAAATCTCCAAAAGTCTCCTAGAATTAATAAATATGTTCAGCAAGTTCACAAGGAAAAGGTCAATATACAAATCAATTGTATTTCTATATATGAACAATTAACAATTGGAAACAAAAAAATTTTTAAATACCATTTCCAGTAGCACCCCCTAAAAAAGAGAGAAATACTTAGATATAGATGTTATAAAGTATGTGCAAGATCTATACACAGAAAACTACAAAACACTGATGAAATAAATCAAAGAAGACCTAAATAAATTAAGAGATATACCATGTTAATGGAGTAGAGAGTCAACATTGCAGATATGTCACTTATGGGGGGCGGGAAATGTCATTTAAAAAGAAAACCTTAAGTAGAAAATACTAAATCACGAAGCGAATTTAGGATAGTTAAATGATATAAAACCAATATATAAAAATCAACTATTTCTATATACTAGCAGTAAACAGATGGAAGGCTTATGGGTGGGGGCTTTTCAATGTAGGGTGATTGGGCCTGCTGGTTTAATGGAGAACCCATATGTTAGTACCAATAGGTCTTTCCTCTCAGACAGGTCAGATCCTCAGAGAAATTTTCCAGGATTCTGATTTGAGGTTGGTGGCCTATGCTTAGCTGTCAGTTTTCTAGGAGTTGAGTCTGGGAAGAAGGCGGGAGGTGAGGTTTGGGAAGGTAGGGAAGAGCTAAGCATTCAATATGTAATCATGCCACTCCCTGGGAAGGGCTCCCCAGACTTCATTTTCCATGGTCCTTGGCTTCATCATCTGGGAAGTTTCTCCTTATCCATAGTCCACCTTGGTCACATCTGAAGTGGACAATGAAGAGGTGATATCTAGTTTAACAAAGGACTGTCAATTATCTGTTAAATACCTTTTTCTAAAAACAGAATCTCTAAGCCAGGACTTTTTTGTTTTTCTGGAGAGCTGGTTTACTAGCACATTACCTCAGAGATCCCTGAGTTTCAGGGAACATAGGCCCTTACCCAAATCCCAAGCCCGCCAGTTGAATTATAACTGGTCTCAACCAATCATGATAATGTCCTTCTCCTAGCTCTGGTGGCCAACTGACCGCTGATAATGACATAAGCCAAAGTGTTCTGGGTGGGGCTTTCGGGAAAATGTTTGCTTTCCTAATTTAAAGGAGAAAATCCACCAAGCAGTTTCCCATTCCCCATTTTACTTGCTGGCACATGGACATGCGCACCGGAGGTACAGCCATCTTGCACCAAGTCAACATAATAAGGACAGCAGATGGATCTGGATCCTTGCTGACATTGTTGGAGCCACTAAACAGCCCGTGATGTCCTATTCCTGGACATCTCATTACGTAAGAAAAACAAAACCATCATTCTTAAGCCATTCTGGTTGGCTCTTCTGTAACCATTCCTAGCTCCTATAAATAATGTAGTTGAGCATCTTTGTCTGATGTTTATTTTTTTTTATTTAAAGATTTTTATTTATTTATTTGACAGACAGAGACACAGTGAGAGAGGAAACACAAGCAGGGGGAGTGGGAGAGGGAGAAGCAGGCTTCCCACCGAGCAGGGAGCCCGATGTGGGGCTCGATCCCAGGACCCTGGAACCATGACCTGAGCAGAAGGCAAACGCTTAACGACTGAGCCACCCAGGCGCCCCTCTGATGTTTATTTTCTTTTATAGTTCCCCTTCTGTAACATGCCTATTCATATACTTTGCCCATTTCTCCCCTGGACTATTAATTGTATTCATGTTGATTTGTGGTCATTACTATCTTCTGGGCATTAATCCTTTGTCTGTTATATATGTTGTAAATATCATATTTTGTCAATTCCAAGATGTGCATTTTTTCATATTTGAACATCTCCAAAACTGAGACTAGTCATATAAATTATAGTCTCTCATATTGCAGTCAGTAGGGGGCAGAGTTGGCATTGCTGTTGTCATAACCTCAGGCTTGAAGTTTAGACTCTAACTTGCTCAGATCCCTACCAAGGCCATGGGCGGGGTGCTAGCAATGTCATGTGGTCTGTAAATTTTACAGTAGTAAAATATTTTAACCTCAATCTGTTAAGGTCATGTATCTTTCTATTACAACTTCCTCAACGTCAGGTGATATTGGAGTGGTTGGTCACAGGCATTTTTTTAGAGCCTGTTAAGAGAAATTTGAGCTGAGGAACATTTAGTTGTGATGTAATGTGGTTTGCAGTCATTCTTGGGTATAGCTAAGTTGTAGCTAATTGTCTTGGTATAGGAATGGCTTCCAGGAATACTCCTCCCCACACTGTGCCAACCCAGCATCACCACATAAAGAAGCAGCCAGAAATCCTATCATGATATGAATGTTCCTATGACACCCAGTACCAATAGTGGAGGTATTGGAGGAGAAACAAATCTGAAACAGCATATTGCAAGATGGCCGACACACCTCCAGACACTGAATGCACATCTCAGGTGGAAATAAAATAGAGGTGGCCCCAGCTTTATTCGTCTTTTTGTTAGGTGAGTGACAGCTGTCTCAGATTATCTCTCATCAGACCTCTCCTGGTATATTATTAGCCAGAACTGAAAAACTCTCAAGAAGACTGGGGAAGTGTGGAATGTGAATGTCACGACTGGCTCAAGCCAATAACAGTATCCTGCATGATAATTATCACATTTGGCTATATTCTGTCCCAAACAAAAATGGGATATTGGCTAGGCAACCAACAGTGTCTGTCACAAACACCCTCCCCAAGTCTAAACCTAAGGAAACCTGCTTGCAGGAGAGCCCAGATCTGCCCAAGAGACGCACTTACACAGCATCACTGTCTCACATACACAGGCCCTGAGAGTTTAGAATGAAGGAAGAACGAGAACAAGGAAGAAGAGCCTCCAGGGCCAACAGGACTCCCAAACTATCACTGCACCAGACCCACACCCACCGAAGTCAGAAAGTGATAGCAAAATCTCACCCCTCTGAGCAGTTAACCCAGGAAACAATGTTCCCAGAACCTAATACAATGCAACCTCTGGTTTTGCCAAAGAACAAAGCTGAGCTTCAGAGGTAGCTGAAGGCAAGTCAGTAGGCAAAGTAGAGAAAAGCTTCTTGGTTTTGGCCCCACCAGAGGTTGGTCTGCACTGGTTGTCTGAAGTCCGCGAGCTATGAACTTAAATTCTGTTGGGACATTTCCCCCCACTGAGGGTGATTGTGTCCTGTGCATACTCTAGCAGTAGGGAAAATCCACTTCTGCATGTTTCCTCCTCTTCCAGAGAATGGGGTGTGGGACATTCCCTTCTTTTTGAAAAATGGAAATGTGTAATAGCAAAACCTTCATCATCAGATCTTGCTTGAAGGGCCCATCTTCCCCAGATCATGTGTGTTTGAAACATCTCAATTTCCCATTCCCCTTTAAGTTCCATAGTCCTGATATCCAACTGCTGTGTAAGGTGTGGGTTCTATAAATGATACAACCTTGAGAAATACAGCAAAACCCACAGACATATGGTTTTAAACAAGAGTTGGTATCTGCATATGTGTGTGGTGGCTCTGACACCAGCTTTGGTTCAGAAGCAACATGAGGTAGGGCAGGTAGGATTCCTGCCTGAGACCTACCAGGCAGAGGAGAACTGAGTCTGGTTAACTGACAATGCCTTCCCAGAAAAAAGGTGAAGAGACACAAACCACTGGCAGGTTCCTCTTTCTCTACCCACAGATCTTGTACATCAGAGTTTCCTGGCATGACACCACCGTTCCTCTGCCCCCACAGCCCCACCCACCCCGCAAGTCTTCTGGCTCTCTCCCCCAGGAGCTCTCGGACCTGACCCATCTTCTGCACTGGCCTCCCACCCTGGGAGATGGGGGGGACCTTTTGGCCTCCACCAGTCCCCAGACCTCCACCTACCACCTGAGGGGACCTCCCCAGGCCAGCTACACCCTGGGAGGCTACCTGGAGGCCATTCTTGTCGCAAGAGACCACTGGGGCAGGCCCAAGACCCATGGTGGGGATCTGTTTCGGGCACAGCTCCTGGGTCCCTACCTGAAGGCAGGAGTCCCTGGAGATATCCAGGATCTGGAGAATGGCACCTACCTGTTGTCCTTCCCCCTGCTCTGGGCTGGACAGGCCCAGGTGCAAGTACGGCTGATCCACTCCAGCGAGGCAGTCAGAGTCCTGCGGAGAATCTGGAGAGACCAGTGGGCCACGGTCGATTTCACGGGCTATTTCCGAGGACCCACAGGATATGAAGAAATTGTGACTTGCAATGTTAACCCCCTGCTAACTGGGGAGGAAGAATCTACCTGTCACTACAGGGATGAAGATTCTGGTGAGCTCTGGTTCTGTGCTCGACCCCCCACCCTGCCCTGTGACTCACTGGTAGGGCATTCAAGTGGACATTATTGGAATGTGACCACACCACACGAGGAGGCCCTGCTGGCATGGTAAGAAACCCAGCATCATCTGGGATGTCTGCCCCCACCCCTGAACCCTGGTCCCTGTGATTTTTCTGCCTGAGCCACTACCCTTATTCATCTGTTCCCTTCTGTTAAACATGTTTCCTTCTGCACGACAGGTCTCCTACTAAGTGCTGACTACCTTTTTTTTTTTTTTTTAGATTTTATTTATTTATTCATGAGAGACAGGGAGAGAGAGAGAGAGAGGCAGAAGCAGGCTCCCTGCTGAGCAGGGAGCCCGATGCAAGACTCGATCCCAGGACACTGGGATCATGACCTGAGCCGAAAGCAGACACTTAACCATCTGAGCCACCCAGGCGCCCAAGTGCTGACTACTTTTATGTAATGGTCGGCATCCCTGCCCTCTACAAGCTTTCAGTAAGGAGACTCATGGCTTTTGAAAACACAGTGTGATGAGTACTTATGTGTGCACGGAGTGGTGTGAGGGCATGGAGAAGGGGCACCCCACCTGGCAGGTCATGCAGGTGGCAACTTAGCTAAGCTTAAAGGAGAACCATGGACCTCTGGCAAAAGAAAAGGATTCCAGGCCTTGCTGCTCTTCTGATGGCCCTTGTAAGGAGAGATGTGCTGCTGAAATTACCAGCATATGTGGTCAGGGAGTATGGAGGATGGATGTGACCTCCCTGAGTGAGAGGGGAGCAGAGCCTGCAGCCTGGAAACTGGGAATGGCTGAGAACTGTCCTCAGTCTTGGGGGAGCAAGGCTCCCTGGGGGGACAGAGAATGGGAGTTGGGGAGGGGAGACACAGCAAACAGCCTGGCTCACTGTGAGCCCTACTGTCCCTAAGATCTGAGGCGTGGTGGGAACAGAGAGACCCCAGGGAAGGGAGGCATTTTGAGAGACCCCAAGGAGGAGGGAGGCATTTTTTAAGGTGGGAGACCTGGATATCTGGTCTCCAGCAGGGAGAGTAGGGGATGGAGGCAAAAACAGGGTCCTAGAAGATGGCTGGGTGGGGGCAGAGCAGGGGTGAGAGGACACCCCTACTGAGTGGGGGGAGAGAAGAGCCAGAGGTGTTCTAGGGGAGGGCTGGCCGCTGGGATGGATGCTGCTTTGCAGCCCCAAGGAGCACGGAAGTTCTCACTGGCTGCCAGGAGGACGGGAGGGGGTGAGCCAAGCTGGAGACGCCCGAGCTGCCAGGGTGCCTGCCGGCCCCACGAGACGCTCATTTCTGGGAGGCTCTCGGTAGCTCAGTCTGGGGAATTCCACTAACATTGACTTCCTGGCATGAGAATTTAGCGCCAGGAAACCTTGGTGTTTCCAGACCAATTCTTACACTGCCTTTGGTCAGAAAAGGAGAACCACACATTCTTTTTGCATTGGTTGATTAAAAATAACTCTAATGCTAAATACAGGAGCCATCTCAAGACGTCACTCGGGGTACAGTCCTGAAGTCTCTGGAGTGAGTGTGTGGGTTCTGATCCCAGCTCCACCTGCTCCGACTTGCTGGCTCCTATCCGTGTGATCTCTGGGAAGTCACTTAACCTTTCTGTTCTCTCATCCGTAGAGGGGAATAATGATAGTACTTCCCTCATAGACTTGTGGTAAAGAACAAATACATTAATGTGTGTAAAGTGCTTAGAACAGGGACAGCATATAGTGGCTCTGTTGGCTCTTACAATCTTGTCCCAATTGTTTTGCTGCTGTTGAGTGGCCCCTGCTCTGTTGGACATTGTCCGAAGGCCTGGAGATCCTGGGGATGGGAGAGCAGGGCAGAAGCAGACCCGTCCCATGGGAGCCAACAGTGTGCTGATAGAAGACAGGTGTTAAAGAGATAACCACACATGTGGCAAATGTGTAGTGGACATGAATTTGCAGCCCCAAGGTCAGGTGTTTTCTTTACATCGACTTTAATCCCATCCGAGGACCCCTGCAGCTGGGTGGTGGCAAGAGCTCCCTCACCCAAGGTCCTGCAAAGAAACTGACACCTTGGCCATCTGGGATCCGTCCTTAGTCCTCTGTCCACACTGGTCACCCCAAAGTGCCCACTGTCCAAACTTGTGTAATCTTGGGGGCTCTGCTGGGAGGGAAGGCATCTCCACCTGGGTCCAGAGTCCGTGGGACCATCCTTCACCTGCTTCCTGAAGCTGTCACCTCTAGGGGGCGCTAGGGCCCTGACACTCAAGGAAGGCCATAAGCAGGCATTTTTCTAGATTGTAGGAATATTCTCATCCCCTCTCCCCCGAGAAGCAAATTCTCCTCTCCTCCTCAGACACAATCCCTTCAAGCAGTCCGTTCCTTCATTCAGCAAATGCATGCCGAGCACCTTCTACATGCATGCTCCCACTGGAGGCACTGGGAATCCAGCACCATTTACCCTGCTCTGGTAAAGCTTACTTAAGACAGGAGGGAGGGTCAGAAACAATAAACATGGCAATAAGTAAATAGTATATAGACTGTTAGAAGGAGATAACGTGAGGGGCGCCTGGGTGGCTCAGTTGGTTGAGCGACTGCCTTCGGCTCAGGTCATGATCCTGGAGTCCCGGGATCGAGTCCCGCATCGGGCTCCCTGTTTGCAGGGAGTCTGCTTCTCCCTCTGACCCTCCTCCCTCTCATGCTCTCTGTCTCTCATTCTCTCTCTCTCAAATAAATAAATAAAATCTTAAAAAAAAAAAAAAAGAAGGAGATAACATGCTAGGGGAAATTTAAAATACACAGGAGGTGAGGATTAGGAGTATGATGGGGATAGGTTGCAGTGTTAAATAGGGCATCAGGGTAGACCTCATTAAGAAGGTGACATCTGAGCAAAGACTTGAAGGGGATGAGAGAGTTGACCCAGGATATAACTGAGAGAAGAGGTTTAAGGCAGAGGAAATGCTGTGGTGTCCCTGGTGTGTCTGAGGAACAGCAAGGAAGTCAAATAGCTGAGATGGGGCAGAGGACAGGGAGGTGGCACATGAAGACCAGTGGCATTAAGGGAAGGACATGGCATGACCAGGAAGCGCCCTGTAAGCACGGTAATTTTTGCTGTGAGTGAAAAGGGAGTCACTGAAGGATTTTAAGCAGAAGATAGGCATCCCTGATCACATTTTTAAAGGGTCTCTCAGACCGTTGTATTGAGAATGGATTGCAGGTTAAGGGAGAATCAGGGAGACTGAAAGGTGGGAGGCCTTTGCTTCAGGTTGCAGTAGTAAAGGTGTCTAAAGTGATTCATTTCTGGGTATATTCTGAAGGCAGTACCCATAAGATGTCCTGAGAGAAAACGGAATGTGCCAAAAAGTGAGAGCCCGCAGATGAGTGTGAGGTCTGGGGCCTGCTCACATGGAAGGACAGTTGCCATCAGCTGGAGTGAGAAAGCGGCAGGTGGGGTGTGGGGAGGTGGGGGGTGGAGAGGGGGAGTTTGATCACGTGCATTAGACACCAAGTGGAGATGTTGAGCAGATGGCTAGACTCACAAACCTGGAATTTGGCAGAGAAGACTGGGTTGAAGATCTTGGCTGAGTGAGACCACCAAGGGAGGGAGTGTGATCCGGAAAGGAGGAGCAAGGGCTGAGCCTTTTTGGGAGAAGGGGGCTCACACAAGGGCTACTTACTAGGGGAGGGAAGGGTCCCAGGGATCAGGGGGTGACTGCTGGTCTGATGATGGTCAAGGAGAATCCAACAGGAGTGGGCTCAATGAGACCAAGAGGAGAGTCAGCACTTCTTGCAAAAGGCTCCAAGCCTCTTCCCATACGAATCATGGTTTTTTGTTGTTGTTGTTTGTTGTTGTTTTTAAGAGAGAGAGAGAGAGAGAGAGCATTGGTGGGGGGGAGGGAGAAAGAGAATCTTAAGCAGGCTCCACCACACTCAGTGCAGAGCCCAACTTGGGGCTCAATCTCATGACCCTGAGATCATGACCTGAGCTGAAATCGGATGCTTAACCAGTTGAGCCACCCAGGCGCCTCTGAATCATGTTTTTAATTTCCTGTATTTTTGTGATGCTTTGATGTCTTGGGGCCTTGTGAACCTAGGGAGGGGTCACCCCTCCCAGGGTTAGCTAGCTCCTAGAGATAGCAAACAATTTGCCTTGAGCACAACCACCCAATCCTGAGTGCATACCACCACCCTGCCTCCTTTTATCAGGCTCCTACAGTCTGGGCCAACACCCCCTGCCTGAAATTAGAATCTACCCATATAGCCCAGAGTCTGCTGATGTTATTCACATGATCCAATCCTAAGCCTCCTCAGCTGCTTACCCTTCCTTGCCTGTTCCTTCCTGTGAAAATCACAACAAAGGTTTTTGCCCTTTGCCCTTGCTCCCTCTGCCCCCGACTGACCCTGGTGCTTCTCCATGTGCCCCTGCCTCTCAGGAACTCTGGGTAACACCTTATCTTTCTCATGGCCATCATCTCCTGATCTGTTGGCCTCACCATACTTAAATAAAAGCAAAACCCTGGGTACATTTTAAAACAGCTCTGCTTTCTGCACTGACGGAATCCCCGAGGCAAAGAACCTGGATCCTGGATCCCTGAACATCTCCAGCTTCCAATCCCTCTCCGGCCCTCAGGCCCTCAGTACCTCCCAGGAGCCCTGACACTGGACAGATGCCCTTGACTTTGAGAACTTCCTTTCCTCCAAAAAGCCCCATCTCACCTCAGCCCAGGATTCCTTCCCATCACACATTCCCATTAAGGGCTCCCCTCTTGCCAATTGGTTTCTCTTCAGGAATGTGACAGACAAGGTCCTCCCTCAGGGTATTTCTCCAATCTGGGTGGCCAAGGAGAGCAACAAGAGTCTGGGTAAGTGACACTGGGGCTTGTAGAAAAGGCAGCACTTATTCCATGCCTGTGGCTTTAGACTCTTCTGTACCCACAGATTGCTTTGCTTACAAATGATTATTTACAGTTCTATCCCCTCAACAACCGTGCCACCCTGGGATCCCGGGCCCAAAGCCCTCTGGCTTCTATCACCGAGCTGTGTGGCACTCATTGTCCTGCTCTGGCCGCTCCTTCTCCACTGTTGACAGCATCCTGGGCTGCCTGGCTGGCCACATCGTCCACATGATAGGGGACTCCACGCTTCGGCAGTGGTGGGAGTACCTGCGTGACACCGTGCCCTGTGAGTGACCATGTGGGGAGAGGGCAGGGCTCCTAGGAGAAAGAGAGAAGATCCAGGGCTTTGAGAAGGCAGAGAACATTTCAGGAGAAGGACCTGAAGGATACCTGTGGAAGGACCGGATACCTGGGTTTGGGGCAGAAATAGGGATGGGGAACAGGGTGCCCAGATTACACATAATCTCATCAATTAGGTCGGTGATGGGAGGCTCTAACAGGAGGGGGGATGTGTTTGAAGAACGATGAGTACATAACCTTAGCTAGAAGTGAGGATTTGCCAGAGGCGGGGGGGATACTGGAGGAATAGAGTTGGAATTTAAGAAAAGTACTGTAGGGAAACCAGGGGTTTATCTTGTGACACTGGGGAGACACTGAATGTTTTCAGAGTTTTCAGTTTGTTGGATTGATTGGATCAAAAAAGGAGAGTCCACAGACCAGTTATAAGACAACTGCAGGTCAGTGTGCAGGCTGGTGAGAGACTAAACTGGCACAGCAGTGAAGGAGCTCTCCTACTGGAGGAGCTGACAGCTTATTGACTGACTGCTTCTAGAGAGAGGGGAGATGATCAGGTAACTAGGGATAACAGGAAATGAACTCAAAATGGAAGTCACTGGCGTGCCTGACTGGATGTGCGAGCAAGGGACAGCAGTGGGAGAAGATGGTGTATTTACTTTATATTCTTCATACTGGCTTGAAGAGGTGAGGAGGGGTCTTCTGGAGAGCGTGTACATGAGACTTTTGAACACACAGGATTTTGGAACTGAATTGAGATATCTGAGCTTCAGACAGTATTTCGTATTTATTCCCTGGAGGATAGAAGTCAAAAGAAGTGAGTGTCATGCAGGGTCAGTCCCATCTGAGCCTCCAGCTTCTGGGCACAGATTCTACAATATAACATAACATGGGTTAAGGAATATGCTTGATCGGGGAGTGGGGGAAATGAGAGCTCCAGTTCCAACCAATTTGATGGTTAGGCAACCTCAAGTGACCTCCTAGGGTCACTTTGGGACAGTTCTGCACATGGCAGGTGGAGTAGGTGACTTTCTTAAGCAATAGATGTTTCTGAAGATGAACAGAAGCTCATGACAGAATGTTGGGAAAACCAGATCCTCTGCTGGCTGATTTGCACCTTCCTGTGAAATAGAAAAAGGTGCCCCCTGCGCCCACAGAGCCCTGAAGCACAAAGTGGGGCAAGCAGGCAGGGACTTTGTGCAAAGAAAGGAGGGGCCTTTTCCTGCAGGTGTGTCTAGCTCTCTATCAAGGCACACAACTGAGTGGACAGACCAGATGTCAGAAGCCTCTGGCCGCCGGCTGGCCACGATGCGCAAGGACATAAACTGGACAGCCTTGACTCTCTAGCCTGGGGCAAGTCTTCATCCAGGGGTGGCCGAAGGGAGCTGATGGATGAATCCGAGTTGAAGTGCTGGGTCAGAAAGAAGACTGCAGAGGGTGACAACATACTGCTAAGAAAGGCGGGGGCATCCAAAGGAACATCAATGAGACAAAATGCTCCAGGGGGCTAGGGAGGCTCAGGACTGAGAATGGGTCTTGGGACTTGGTAACTGGGAGGTCACTGGTGATATTACAGATTAGGGAGAGCACAACCAGCTGATTGGGCCAGAGGCTACTTTTGTCCTAAGAGGAAAATGATGCTAGATCTTTTGTGTTTTTAAATGGGGAAGTACAGTCCTATATTAACCCCTGAGCCTCCTCTTGTCCTCCCCACAGCCCTGAAGCCTGTGGATCTACACGCCACATATCAGACGGGGCCCCTGATGGCAGTGGAGACCACTCGGGGCATCGTGCTGCACTGGCGGGCCCACAGCTGGCCCCTGCGCTCCCTGCGCACACCAGTGGCCTCCCTGCACTCTGTGGTCCGGGAGCTAGGGGGCCTGGCCGGGGGCCCCCACACAGTGGTGGTGCTGGGCCTGGGCTCCCACTTCACCACCTTTCCCCCATCTGTCTTTGTGCAACGACTCGCGGGGATCAGGGCAGCGGTGGCTGCGCTGCTGGCCCGGGAGCCCCGCACTCTCGTGGTCATCAAGCTGGCCAACACTGGCTACAAGTCCGTGTATGGCAGTGACTGGTTCACCCTCCAGGTGAACCGGCTTCTCCGAGCTGCCTTTGCTGACCTCCGTGTGGCCTTTGTGGACGCCTGGGAGATGACCTCCAGTCTGGCCCTGCCCGACAGGATCCACCCAGGGCGGCTTATCGTCCGCAGTGAAGTCAACTTCTTCCTGTCCTTCATTTGCCCCACTTGAGTGCTTCTGCAGGTCCTGAGCTGTCTGGATGGAGAAGCTGATGGGATGATCAAGCCTGGAAGCCCTTCCCTTCAGCTGCCCTCACCTCTTCTCTTACTTTATTAATGCCCAGGCCATATATCAACCAGCAAGAATTGGGAATGTGCGTCGTGGCAGGTGAGGGAAGCCTGGCAGTGGTCCAGCAACATCTATCACATCCGTGCATATAAGGATTGTCATTTTATGTGCCAGAGTCTCCATTTAGAGTGTCAACGAGCCTTGCAAAAATATGAGAGGGATTCTATTTCAGTTCATCAGAGCCACCCTAGTGGGGAGCCCAACAATATATATATATATATATATAAAGACTTTTATGGATTGATTTATAAAATAAAATATCTCCTGGTTATAAAAGTAATACATGCTTTTTGTAGAAAATTTTAAAAAGTACCAAAAAATTAACAATGAAAATAAAAATCACCTAGAATCCCATGGTTGGGAGATAATCACTGTTAAAATACCTATATTTTCAATAATTTCTCAATGCATAAAAAAAAGAAAATCTATCCCTCCTCCTTTTGTTTTATTTACTTGAGATATACATGATGAGTTTATTCTGAGGTTCTAATGACACTAAAGAGGATTTTGGTGTGCCCTTGGTCAGTCCAGATCCTTCGAGAGGCAAGTGTCAAGACAGGAGTAGAAGAGCAAAGTTGTTTAGAGGAAACATCTATGAGAGATAATGCAGAGGAAGCTAGGTGAGGCTGGGAGAGCTCATCAGACTGGATGTAAGGTTGACTTGGAGTAAAGAAGAGAGGAAGGAAGATCCGGTAGAAGCATGCTAGACCCCAGTGCAGGCTAAGGGAATTTTGGCACGACCAGTGGGAAGTCCTTGAATCAAAGTTGACCATCAGAGGAATCCTGCATGTCCCAGGAAGGGGCCAGCCTCAGTATCCCTGCCGTACTCCACCACTGGCTAGTAGCAGCCCATGGCAAGAGCGGCCTCCCTGTGAGGGATGTCAGAGGATAGCAGCTGGGGCCCTTGGTCAAGTATGAGCCCTATAGTCTACCACAAAGGGAACAAACATTTCAAATATGTCATAACTCAGGAAATATAGTTGATTTTCTAAAGGAATGACGAAAGTCAAACTTCAGTCAAACAAGAGATTACTGATTTGATCCAGCAATTCCACTTCTGGGTATTTATCTGAAGGAAAGGAAAACACTAGCTCAGAAATATATCTGTACCCCCACCTTCACTGAATGCAGCATTATTTACAATAGCCAAGATATGGAAGCAACCTAAGTGTCCACCAGTGGATGAATGGATAAAGAAAATGTGGTGTAGGGGCGCCTGGGTGACTCAGTTGGTTAAGCAACTGCCTTCGGCTCAGGTCATGATCTCAGGGTCCTGGGATCGAGCCCCGAATATCGGGCTCCTGGCTTGGCGGGAAGCCTGCTTCTCCCTTTCCCACTCCCCCTGCTTGTGTTCCCTCTCTCACTGTCTCTCTCTCTCTCTGTCAAATAAATAAATAAAATCTTAAAAAAAAAAAAGAAAAGAAAATGTGGTGTATATGAGACAGTCAAGGACCATGGAAACAAGGCACTCCGGTGGACTCTTACCTTTTTTCTGCAGAGCATGAACCAAGGAGCGAACCCAGACCGCTTCAAACTGATCTGAGATTGGATGGTTGCCAAAATTGACCTTTCACTGACTTCCCTCCTCATTTTAATGCTAAAAAACATGCCCAGAGGTGGAGACTTAACATGCAAATAAAAGTCCAGTGTATGAAGAAGGATGTTCTGTCAACTGCACCTGCATGCCCACTTTCCTGGGATTCCCTGCCTGGACATTCTTTTTTCATACTTTTTTTTTTTTTAAGATTTTATTTGAGAGAGAGAGACACAGCGAGAGAGGGAACACAAGCAGGGGGAGTGGGAGAGGGAGAAGCAGGCTTCCTGCTGAACAGGGAGCCCGATGTGGGGCTCGATGCAGGGCTCGATCCCAGGACCCTGGGATCATGACCTGAGCCGAAGGCAGACCCTGAACGACTGAGCCACCCAGGCGCCCCCTGCCTGGACATTCTTGAGCATCATTCCTTTTTCCCACCTCGGCCCCTTGAAAACTTTCCCTGGCTATTGTTTGGAAAACCAGTCTGATACCTTAGTCGTGACTGTGTCTCCCTCCGGTGGCAGCTGCTGTCCCAATAAAGCCTTGCCTGTACCTTTAAATTTGGGGTCCAGCCTCATTTCTACCATAGCTGGGTCCAAGGACCAGAGTCTGGTAATGAGTCTGGTAATGTATATACACAATGGAATATTAATCAGCCATAAGAAAGAAAGAAATCCTGCCATTTGCAACAATATGGTTGGATTTTGAGGGCATTATGCTTAGTGAAATGCACCAGACAGAGAAAGACAAATGCTAAATGATCTTACTTACATGTGGAATCAGAAAAAACAAACAACAACAAACAAACTCATATGGAGAACAAAGCGGTGGTTGCCAGAGGTGGGGAAGGGGGCACCATGGGTGGAGGGGGTCAAAAAGTAGAAACTTCCAGCTATAAGATAAATAAGTCCTGGGGATATAATATACATCATGGTGACTCTGGTTCATAATACTGTATTATATATATGAACACAGTTAAGAGTAGCTCTTAAAAGTTCTAACAGCAAGAAAAAATTTTTTAGCTATGTTGGAGATGGGGTCAACTAGACTTATTGTGGTGATCATTTCAAAATAATACAAATATCAGATCATTATGTTGTATACCTGAAGCTAATACAACGCTATATGTCAATTATATATATATATACATATACATATATATATATATATATATATATTTTTTTTTTTAATGAGACAGAAACAGCGAGAGCAGGAACACAAGCAGGGGGAGTGGGAGAGGGAGAAGCAGACTTCCTGCTGAGCAGGGAGCCCGATGCAGGACTCGATCCCAGGACCCTGGGATCATGACCTGAGCCGAAGGCAGCCGCTTAACGACTGAGCCACCCAGGCGCCCATATTATATTTCAATTAAAAAAATTAAAAGTTTTCTTGGGTTAGTCGTGTGATAGACTTTTCCCAATGACCTATTTGTGTTCTTAGACAAAGGAATGTTGTCTAATTCGGCATTGCCGTCAATAGAAAATAAATTACTTGGAAATATTATAACAAATACTTAGTGATTTTGCTGAAAAAAAATAAATTTTACAACATAAATATATAATACTTGAAATTCCGCATGTCTTTAAAAGTCCTGCAAATATCGCCACCCCAAAGCAGATCATCCAGGCTCATGTAATAATAATCAATACAGTTGTCTTTGTTTTGCTAACTATCATTTGTGTAAAAACACATTTCTCAATTTTGTATTAGGAAGGTATACTTCTCTGGGCAGAGAGAGATTATTTGGCAGATTATGATAACTTAAATATTTTGACATAAGGCATGGGGCTCTGGTAGGGCTCTGGCCCAGGTCTCACAACTGATAGGGGCAAACCCACCATCCGAAAGGAAGGTGACAGGCCACAGTGAACCTGACCACAGCCCTACAAGGCGCACCCCCGCTGGCCAGAGGGACCCCAGGCGCCCCCACGTGACCGCACTCTCCTTGCTCCCCCTCCCCCCCCAATCAGGATCCTGCCACTGCTTCCATTGGCTCAGCACAAGGGGGCATCAGCCCATCAACCCAGGAAGAGCAGGTGGGACCAGCACTCAGGCAGGTGTGGGAGGGAGAATGGGCCCTGCGGTCCAACAGGAGGACTTGTGCCCTGCTTTGCTACAGGAAGCCCAACTCTGAGCGACGCCGCTGTGCTTTTGGTATCTTCTCCACCTTTCTTAGAATTAGCTTTCTTGTGTAATTCATGAATCAAGCAGCATCCCATCCAGCAAGTAGAGATGCTCCCTCTTCTCTGCCTTCAGAAACAACATTCACCAATATGTATGAAGGAACATTGCCTTTTGCTTGTACCAAATAATAACTTTTCTCCAGAGACCACAAGTTAATCAAGTCCCGTGACAGACTGTGTGCTGGGGACAGGACTGCAGGTGGGGTGATTTCAGCTATCGTGCCCTGACTCTGGAGAAGCCTCTTCCTCCTGGGGTCCTGGCTGCCGTCGCCACCCCCATGTACTTCATCTCAGATGCAAGCTCCCCCTCTCTCGGTCCTCCTGGGTCTCACCCTCAGCACACGCTTGTGTTGTCCCCAGGCACGTTTGTTAACCACTTCCTCATAGTTTTTTACCCTCCGGTGAACGCCCAGAGCCCTGATGCACTCTGCGTCTGAACTGGAAATACAGTGAAGCCAGTCTTCACGCTGAAAGGCAGACACGGGAAGGAGGGACTGCCGGGTGCCAACCGGCCAAGGACCCGGGAGACCCCTGTGAGCTCCAGAAGCTGGGAGAGGTGGGAAGGACCCTCCCTGAGAGCCTTCAGAGGGGGCACGACCCTGCTGACACCTGGAGTGTTTGGACCTCTGGCCTCCAGAATGGTGAGAGAACATACATCTGCTGTTTGAAAGCAAACCACATAAATACCATGGCCAGTGACATGCAGTGACATGAAGTTTTGGGGCTAACATGAACTGCAGCCCCACCTCAGCTGAGATCCACTTGCCAGTTTCCTTGAGGGCCCATGCTCAGCTCAGATTACTAAAACCATTTTACAAATAAAGGAAGGAAAAAAAGAGGAAGGGGACTTACGTGTCAATCCTAATTCATCTTAAGTTAGAATTCTGTGAAATGCATTTAAGCAAATTCATTTCATGGCTTTTTCTTCTAAATTTGCTGTCACCTTATGACAACCCAGCAATCCCACAGAGGGAAGTGTGCTGGAGCTGACTGTTACATTTTGGAGAATGTTGTGAGCCCTTTTTCAACACAGCCATTATTAAAATTTAAGTTTGTGCACAACGCCTAATGCCATTGAACTGCATACTTAAAACTGGTAAATTTTGTCAGGTAAGCATTATCAATAAAAAAATTATAATCAAGAAAAAATATAAACTCACAATAAATTATATTTAAAAAGAAGGAAGCTCATCCCTCTCTAATTTTACCACATATTACTATGATCTGTGCTCTTGAGGTTATTCATGCTATTGTGTCCTACAGTGGGAAAGACCTACTGCTGCTGTGCATTTCTTCTGGACTCAAATTCAGCGACTTCACATTGGGAGTGGGAGTAGTCTCCTCGGGCTGCCATAATGAAGTGCCACAGACCTGGTGGCTTAAACAACAGGAATTTCTGTCAGTTCTGGAGTCCAGGAAATCCAAGATCAAGGTTGCATTCTGAGGTCATGGCCTGTGGCTTGTACGTGGTGCCCTCTTGCTATGTGTTCACAAGGCCTTCCCTCAGACTGTGCCCTTGGAGAGAGAGAGAGAGAAAAAGAGAGAGAAAAGCATTGTCACTTTCGATAAGGACCCTGATCCTATAGGATCGGCTCCCCATCCCCATGACTCCTTTAACCTTCATTATTTCCTTAGGGGCACCATCTCTGACTACAGCCACACTGGGGGTTAGGGCTTCAACATGTAAATTTGGGGGTGGAGTGGGGACACAAACATTTGGTCCACACAGTAGTATTAACTCAGTACTGTGGGAGTTTTTACACCATGGAAATGGGCAAATGCTATGAATCGGGGCTTCTTTTCTGGAGAGCTGTTTGTTCAACATTTACAACCCTCCACTGCTCTGAGGGCAAGGGCGGACAACGGTCTCCTCTGTGAGCATCCTTTCTCTCCTCCCAGCTGGGAACGCAGCAAGGTCAGGGGTCAGTCCCTGCCTCCCAGGTCTCTGCCCTCTGCGCTCATCTAGAAGCTCAGTCTGCACGTGTCAGGTTGGTCAGGAGCTGGAATGCAGCCAGGGGCCGTGAGGAGGCTGACAGGTGAGGAAGTCTCGGTCACACGACACACATGAAACATGCGAATGTGACAGAGGCCGACTCCACAGAAGGCAGGCTCTGGCTCAGGCAGCTGGGCAAATGCCTTCCCTTCCCCGAGCCCATTTTCTCATCTGTCAAGTGGGGATAATAGCCACCTCCCTTTGAGGGTCTGAGTGGGGACAGAATGAGCAACACAGAAAACACTGCACACTGCCTGGAAAGCTACATGGATCCTCATCGCCTGACGCCCACCCTTTAAAGACGAAGACCTCTCTGTCTTCTCTCCATCCACATTAGTCAGCCCTGACTGCCCTGTGCATGAAGCCGGTGACAGGGACCCAAAGCTCCATGAGCCCCTCTGTCCTTAAGCATCTCCCTGTGTAGCAGGAAGACAACCCAGAAAAGGGAACTCCGGCTGTAATGTGGGTCAGGGGACTGTTGACTTCTGTCACTGCGAGGGGAAAATGTCACTGTGCACAGCACAGACCCCACACCACAGCAGACATTTACTGGCAATGTGACCTTAAGTGATGTTCATAACCTCCCACGGGACCTCAGTCTCCTCTTGTGAAATGAGGGCCGTAACAGACCCTGCCTACCTCCTGGGGCTTGGGGAGACTTAACTACTGTTTTAAAATATAATTATAGGGAAGGGGGCCGAGGCCGGGTCACCTTTACCGGGCTGGGAAGGCAGGTTTGGCCCTGGCAACCGCACTGCGATGAGGTTCGAGATCCTGCCCGGGATCGGCATCATGGCCATGTGCCTGGTCCTCCCCGACATGGCCATAGCACACATGCACAGGTTCAGTAACGGGGGCAAGGAAAAAAGGGTTGCCTGTTATCCGTATCAGTGGAGTTTGATGCAAAGGGATAGGCGGGTCTCTGGAGTTAATCGTTACTATGTGTCAAAGGGTTTGCAGAATATGGATTAAGGAAGCATTTTCCTGACGGATGAAAAATAACTCGGTCATACTCATCTACCCCTTCTAGAAGGTTATGCAGTGTATTAATGTAGTGCATAATAAAAACAAAAAAAATTAAAAATAAAATAAAATTGCATTTGGATTTGTTCGCATTGGGCATGGTAAGACACAAAGATGCAGAAATGACTGTCGTGAAATACGAATTTATACTCACAGACCTCTAGAAAGAGGAGGCACAGAATTCTGAGTGGGGCCATGTCGGGAGGCACCAAGGTCGGTCAGGAGGCTGAGGAAGTGAAGGGAAAACAGGGGCTGGAGACTTTATCATAGTGTCTGTGGAAAAGACAAGGCAAAGCAGAATAAGCAGGCTTAGGACTGACCAGTGGGAATAATTTCAGCAGGTTCTGAGGATGAGGGGCTGCCCTGGGGGGAATGGGGTAGAGGAATATTGCCCTCCTGGAGCATCAGATAGAGGAGGTGGTTTGGAGTGTGGGCTCTGGACTGGTTGGTGTGCATATGAAAGGCATGCTCCTGGGGCACCTGGGTGACTCAGTCGGTTGGGCATCTGCCTTCAGCTCAGGTCATGATCCCAGGGTCCTGAGATCGAGCCCCCCATCGGGCTCCCTTTTTGGTGGGGGGCCTGCTTCTCCCTCTCCCCGCTCATGCTCTCACTCACTCTCTCTCTCTCTCTTAAATAAATAAAATCTTAAAAAATAAATAAAATAAAAAGAAAGGCGTGCTCCTGGGCACGTCTTTCCTATCTCCAGGAGCTGGCTAACACTGCAAGGGGCAGTCGCTCCCTGCTCAGTGAGGCCCCAGATGTCAAAGCATCAAGAATACAGCAAATCAGCAAAACACCCAGCACCCAGGAAGTGGGAGGTGTCATCCCCACCTGTTCCAACATTAACTTTGGGGCCTCCTTCTACTTGTTTCACATGGGGGAGTCTTCCCTTCCCAGCTGGGCTCTCATTTCTGGAGGGCTCACTGCGTGCCTGCCCCCAGCCAGGGCAGGAAAAACCCTCTCTGGGCCCGTCCTCCCTCCCCCAATGGAAAACAAGAGGAAGTAAACAGAGTGTTGATGTCAGCATGGCCCGCAAGCAGACATGGGGAAGAAAAGAGACCAAGATCTGGCCCCCGGTTTCCCCTCCTTCTCATCTTCCCATACCTCCATGGCCTGCCCCTCCTCACACTCTCATCCCAGAACTTGACCAGTGGCCGGATGAAAGCAGCACTGACAAATGGCCTTCATAGGAAAGGCCGTGGGAGGAGAGAGAAGGTGGGGGAAGTTAGGCTGCTGGGGGAGCTGGGAAGAAGGACAATCATTTGGGAAAGCACCAAGCTCACAAGGCACACAGACCTGAGCATTGTCCATGCTCTAGACCTGCCTGGTGGAGGGAACTGGAGTGAGTGAGGTGATCCCTCGGAGCCTTTGTTTCTTCCTTTGTTGGCTGGGAATAAAATTCCTTTTTCTCACAGGATTGCCCTGAAAAGGAAAGGTAGCAGACAAGACAGGTCCTCAAAGTCCGTGTCCTTGCCCCAGGGCGTGGTTCTCAAACTTCAACAGCTTGGAGTGGGGCCTGAGACTTTTCCTTTTCACAGGTTCCCACTTGCGGCTGGTCCACACTGTGATATGAGGTACGTGTGTGTATCCCTGTAGTAGGTACGTGTTTAACTTTCTAAGGAATGGCGCAAATGAATGCCCCTCTGTACATTCCCACCAGCAGTGTAGGACATTTCCAGTGGCTTCACTTCCTTGCCAACAGTCAGAATGGCTGGTCTTTCAATTTGAGCCATTTAACAGATATACAGTGTGATCTCACTGTGGTTTTCATTCACATTTCCCTAGGGACTAATGCTCTTACACATCTTTTCATGTGGTTGTGAACTGTATGTCTTTCTCTGACAAAGTATCTCTTCAAATCTTTAGCTCGTATTTTCAATTGGGATTTTTTTTCACAAATTTTGAGGGTTCCTTGTATATTTGGGATACAAATCCTTTGTCAGTTATGTGATTTGCCAATAGCGTCTCCCAGTCTGTAGCTTCTCCTTTCATTTTCTTGATGGTATCTTTTGAAGAACAGATTTCATTTTGAGGGGTTCCAATTTGTCAATGTTTTCTTTAATGCTTTTGGTGTTGAATCTAAGAAATCTTTGCCTAAGCCAAAGTCTCAAAGGTTTTCTCCTGTTTTTTTCTTCTAAGGTTTTATCTGTTTATTTGACAGAGAGAGACACAATGAGAGAGGGAACAAAGCAGGGGGAGTGGGAGAGGGAGAAGCAGGCTTCCTGCTGAGTAAGGAGCCTGATGCGGGGCTCGATCCCAGGACCCCGGAATCATGACTTCAGCTGAAGGCAGATGCTGAACGACTGAGCTACCCAGGCGCCCTGGTTTTTTGTTGTTTTTTTTTTTCCTGACTTAAATTAATTTTAGGACTTACATTTAGGCTGATGATCCATTTTGAGTTAATTTTTGTAGGTAGTGCAAAATATGAATTCAAGTTCATTTTTTTAATTGAAATTTCCAGTTGTTCAGAAGACTGTGATTTCTCCACTGAATTGCCTTTGCGTCTTTGTTAGAAATAAATTGACCACGTAATTGTGAGTCTCTTTCTGTACTCCGTTCTGTTCCATTGATCTATTTATCTGTCTTGACACCAATACATCTTTTTTTTTTTTTAAGATTTTATTTATTTATTTGAGACAGAGAGAATGAGAGAGAGCAAGCACATGAGAGGGGGGAGGGTCAGAGGCAGAAGCAGGCTCCCTGCCGAGCAGGGAGCCCGATGCGGGACTCGATCCAGGGACTCCAGGATCATGACCTGAGCCGAAGGCAGTCACCTAACCAAATGAGCCACCCAGGCGCCCCGACACCAATACATCTTGATTACAGTAGCTTTATAGTAAGTCTTAAAGGCAGGTAGTGTAAATCCTCCAACTCTGTTCTTCAATTTCAGTTTTTAGCCATTCTAAGGACTTTGAATTTCTACAGGAATTTTAGAATTGGCTTGCCAATTTCTACAAAATAGCCTACTGGGATTTGGTTGAGATTGTGTTATATCTACATGTTAATTTGGGGAGAATTGACATCTGAGCAGTATTGAACACTATTCATACATACGTATGAAATCTCCATTCATTAATATTTAATTTCTCCCAGTAATGTTTTATAGTTTTCGTGTTCAGAGCTTGCACATCTGTTGTATTTATTTCTAAGTATTTCATATTTTGAAGCTATTGTAAGTGGTACCATTTTCATTTGACTTCCATTTTTTGTCGTTAGTATATAGAAAAACAATTGATTTTCAGGTATTGCTCTTGTATCCTGTGACCGTGCTTAAATCAGGGACAGCTCTAGTAGCTTTTTTTGTCGATTCCATTGGATCTTCTGTGTAAACAATCAAGTCATCTGTAAACGAAGAGTTTTTCTTTCTTTCTTTCCAATCTGGATGGCTTTTGGCTCAATTCTTATTCTCACAGCGTTTTAATGTATACAGGTGACTGAGTGATGACACAGAGAGGGTAATGACACTGAAGGAAGGTTTTTGTAACTTACGTTTCCTGCAGAGAAGGAAAAGGCCATGCCGTGCCGTAGAGGGCCGGCCACCTGGGGAAGCAGTAGAGGAGGAAGAGGCAAGACCAAGGGGAAGGCACAGACCACACCTTTAGTGTGTTTTCCCCTGGCAAGACAAGCAAGGAAAGGGAAACAGCTTAGGATTGGCTAGTTTGATTAATTCCGGTGGGCTTTGGGTTACAGGTTACAACTGTCTCTCGTTGTCTGGCACCTGGCACAGGGTTGACTCAGGGCAGAGGAAATATTGGCGTGGTAGGTGAGAGTTAGATAAAGGAGGTGGTTTAGAGTATGGGCCCTGGATTGGTTAGTTTGCATAGGAAAGGCATGCTCCTAGGAATGCCCTTTGCTCTATCTAAGAATAGGCTAGCCTTGGGAGGGGCCATCTCTCCCCAGTCAGCCAGGCCACAAGTGCCTGAGCATCAAGAATGCAGAAAATTAAAAAAAAAAATAGTTAATACAATTGCCCTGTGATAAATGAATGCCAAATACATAAATACAGTATCTAAGAAAACACAGAACACTTTTATTTCTTTGTCTTGCCTTATTGAATGGGCTAGAACTGCCATCATAATAAATGGAGGTAGTGAGAGCAGATATCTTTGCCTTACTCCTGGTCTTGGGGGGAAAGCAGGAGCAAGGTGAGGTACCGTGGAGGGGGAAAGGTAGTGATGGATGTGGCCAATGAGGAAGGGAGAACAGAAACTTAGGAGAACTTGAGAAGATCTAAGGTGGTATTCACAAAATGTGGTCCACAGCTCATAGCCCTCATTCTGTCTCTGCTCCTGAGCAAGCACTTCTGACCCCTCCCCCATGGCCACCCTCTGGGCTAAAGAGCTGCATTTAGGCTCTGCCCATCTATGAATCATGAAACTCCAGGCCCTTCTCCCACCAGAAGCCCCCTCTGTGAGAGCCACAGCTCAAGGCTGATCAGTGGGCCCTCTCATTGCTGTTGGGAGAAGTGAGGATGAGCAAACCCAGAGAATATACACCATCTGTGAGCAGAAATCACACCTCACAATTCCAGGCATCATGGGGATCCAGCTGGGTCCAGGGGCCTGAATAGGACATGAAATGTTCAGCTTGCATCTAGGAAGACCATATGTGGGAACAGTGGGGCCCAAGGTACCTGGACAGCAGGTACTCTGCCAAAGTTTATCTAGTAAATGCGTATTTAGTAAACATGCGTATTTAGTAAACATGCCATGCTGCCCAACAGAATGGGCTGGGACACCCCCTAGGGGGGTCTAGCCCACTCCTTGGGTGGCCTGGCAAAGAGGAGACTGTCCAGCCAGGTCGCACAGCTAGTGAGACAAGGTGAGAGTGGAACTCAGGTGTCACCCCTCAGAAAGGGCAGGCTACCCTCTAGAGGAACTATCAAAAAGGCAGTTGGTCCCTTGTCCTGTCTTCTGTTCACCTTTCCAACTGTTCCTGATATAAGAAAGACTTTAGGATTTGAAGCCAAGGGCCAAGAAAGAATTCTTCAGACATCTTTGGTGCAAAAAGGTGATTTTATTAAAACATGGGGACAGGACCCATGGGCAGAAAGAGCTGCACCAGGGTCATGAGGAGTGGCCCATTATATACTTTCAAGTTGGGAGGGCATTAGGGATAGTGTAAGTCTCTAAGGAGTTTTGGAAGCAAGGTTTCCAGGACCTTAAGGGGGCTAGCTATTGTTGGAAAAAGGTCATTTATTACTGTCTAATAAAACCTTAGTCATGAGACCCTTCAGATGTATATCAGTGGGCCATATGCTTGGGGGGTGATTGCCACATGCATCTTGGGGGTTTAGAAATAAAGGAAATTTCTGAAGGAATTTTTATATGTTAAAGAAGACTTAAGGGTCCTGGGTGGGGGGTGGGGGGTTTGGGGGTGGATTGCCTTTTGCCCTTAGCAAAGTATTAATATCGAGGCAATTGAGTCCCGAGAGGAATGTCACTCTGCCTGTTTCAAAGACTTGTTGATGGGCTGTAGGTAGTAAGGAAATTTAATAATTTTTCTTCTGCCTTAGTTTCCCAATCATTACCATTCGCCTAAGCACCTTCCACAGCCCAGAGGAGTCCATGACATTAAGGCTGTTTCTTGATGGTGCTTCAGTTTCCTACTGATGAAAATACATCCACCACACAATGTTGTAAAGCCGAAAATGAGGCAGTGGATGTTTAGGACCTGGTTCAGATAAGGGGATCCCATGAAAATACAGAACTTCTCTTCTTGAGCCTGGGAGGAAGTGTAAGAAACACAGACACAGGGAAAGGGCAGGGGCTGCCTGGCTGGCCCAGGGAGAGGCGTGGGAAATAACTATGAGGTTTGAGGAAGAAACAAAAGGAGAAAGGAAGTCAGTCTGCTTGCTTCCATCTCCAGAAGACAAGGTCACTTCCTATGATGAAATCATGCTCTCCCACCTTCACCATCTACTCAGTAAGCCAATGCCAACCTCATCCGGGGGCGGGAGGGAGCCCAGCCTCCTACAACCTGCCCAGGGAGTCACCAAAAGTCCCAGCCCCACTCTCTCACCCCCACCCACCACCAGTCACAGGCTGGCAGTGCCCTCCATTGCAGATGGTCCAGGGACTGTCACCAGGATGACGCTACTGCTCTGGGCCTTATATCCCCCCTGGTCAAAGAAGGTCTGGATTAGCCAAGGCTCTCACAGCTGGGGAGGGAATCATCTAAGGAGCATTATAAAAATAGAGCCTCCTGAGAGTCACCCCCCAGAACTCTGCTCTTGGGAGCTGAGGCCCTGAGTTTTGTGGTGCAACCAGGCGGAAGCATCCAGAAGGAACCGAATGCTTTGTGGACTCAGTGAGGCTGGAGTTTGAGTCTTAGACCTATCACTGGAGAGTCATTCGACCTGGGGCAGGGCTTCTCTGAGCCTTGGTCTCCTCATCTAGAGTGGGGGACAGAAGGACCTGCAGATCCAGTCTTGCATCTTGGGGGTCAAGGCATGGCCTTCAGAAGGCCCACCTTCACCTCTTAACCCCAGGGAGGGTGTGAGACCCCACAAAAGGAGCTGATCAGGGCGGGGAAGGGGCCTGGAAGGCCTGGGTCCTGCACAGGACTGCCAGGGGCTGCTGAAGGGGAGCCCCTGCGGGGAGGGAGAAGGACCAAGAGCAAGCTAGGAGTCCCTGGTGCTGGGGCTGGAGGTCGAGGGCATCTGACCACCAGTGGATCCCTCCTCCTCCTCTCTAGGGGGCTGTAGCTGGGCAGAGACTCATGGCTGCCCGCCTTCTTGCTGCAAGAGCTGGAGCTGGTCCTGCCGCCGCCCCTTCACCTGGAAGGACAGACAGAGGCCAGGAGACACTCAGAGAGCCAATGAAAAGGAGAGCTAGAGAGACAAACACTGACTCCTAAGGAGGTAGAGGTGCTGGCAGTGGTCAGGAGTCCAGGCAGAAAGCAGAGGCCACACATGGCCAAGGTCAGAATCATGGCCGGCCCTCAGCATGAAGATAGAGGCTGGGGGCCTCTGTCGTGGCTCCCTGAGCTCTGACAACAAGGAAGCACTTTTGCAATATAGGAAAAGAAGAAACCAGATTGATAAAGGAAGTGCTGGTTACTCTGGGTGCTGGTGAGTTTGGGGAAGTTCTCTCACCCTCCCTTGCTCCTCTGAAGGGGCCTGATCCACGCTCTCCAGGTGCCTCTCGACTCCCCAAGGAGGCGCCCCCTAGGGCCTCCCCTGGCCTTGACAGAGCTGCTTGTCTTCTCCTCCCCTGGGAAGTGAGGCAATGGGTCTGTCCCTGCTGCTGTCTCTGCTGCTGTTGCCGACATGTCTGCAGGCTGGTGAGTGTCCGGGACACCCTGGCTCTGCCCCGAGGCCCAGCAAGTCCCCAGGAAGGGCTGAGGCTGGGCAGCTGGAGAAGGGGTCTGCCAGGGTCGCTGGCCAGGCCTCCCAGCCCCAGCAAGCGACGGGCTCGTCCCATAGTGCTAGTCAGCCCCAACCCTTCACCCTCCTCCCTACCCCAAGTCTGGCGAGGGGGACACCCAGGTGAGAGAGCCGGTCCTACCATCTGTCACACTACTGCCCGTGGTGAGGGTGTCAGAAGGTCTGGGGTTATCTTCTTCATCTCTCCCAGTGGCTTCAGAGTCTCTCCTCTCCCCCGTCCTGCAGGTAGCTCAGAAGAATGTGATTTAAATCCTGACTTTGGGATCGAGCAACCAGCTCACCTCTCAGCCCCCATGGGTGGCTCCGTCCATATCAATTTCTCCTTCTATTACTGCTGGGAGTTAGCCAACGATCCCAGAGTGAGTATAGCCTTGAGATGGAAACACTTCCATGGGGAGGCCATCTACAACAGTACTCAGCCTTTCATCCATGAGAAGTACAAGAACCGCATCTTCCTGAACTTGCCAGAGGGTCAGAAGTTTGGCTCCCTGCAGATATCGAACCTGCGGAAGGAGGATGAGCATATATACTTTTGCCGGGTCCAAGTGGAAACACTAAGAGACGGCACAAAGTTGTGGCAGTCCCTCCAGGGGACCAGACTCACCGTCACCCCCGGTGAGTCCAGCTGCCCCGGCAGCCACCACGCCCACCCTGCTGAGGCTCTTAAAGACCACGGTGCCCTTGTCCTCCAGGCCTGGCCCAGGCCTCAATCTTCCTGCTCGCCCCTTCTCTCAGACTCCTCTCCCCATACTCACCCCCTCCCTAGGCCTCTGCCAACTTTACTCTTTCTCCTCCATCTCCCCAGGCCTGGGTTGCCCTCCTTGACCATCCCCCTCACTGCCCCCTCCGGATCCAGGCCCCCCCAGGCCCCGGCCTCAGCACCTCCTGGGCTTCCCAGTTATCCTCCCTTCTTGCCCCAAGCTGGGGCTCCAGCCCTGCCTCCCTACCCTCCCCCCATGCCGTCCAGGTGGACTTGACTTCTTCAGGATGTGGGCTGCCTTCCCTTTGTCATGTGTCCGTGTGTGCAGCCCCAGCTAGCCCCGAGTCTTGCGTCTCCCCACAGCCATGGGCTCAGCCCAGCACACACAGCAGGTACCCAATGATGACCGAGAGCCCCGGTCCCCTGGCAACACCCCATTACCTGTTTTCCCAAAACCCCCACTTCCTCTCCTGCTCTGCTCCTCGGAACCCCGCCCACGATGCTCCCCGCCCCAGCCCCAGCCCTCCTCTCCTTTCCCATCTCCCTCTTCCCCGCCTCTGTCCTCTTTACCCTCCTTGCTCCCCCCATCCCTAGTCCCCACCTCTGCCTGTACTGTCCCCACTGTCCACTCTGATCTCACTGCTCCGTGCTGGCCCTCGAGAGGCACGTCTGCAGCAGAAATACGGCAGCTCCCGCTTACTGTGCACTGTGTAGGGTTGAACAACTTGGTATGCATCGCCCTAGTTAACCTTCCCCACGACCCCACAGTAACAGTAAGTACTGCTGTCGTCTTCCTGTTAGAGATATAGCGGGACCCTGAGGCTCCAAGATCCTAAACACTGACCTGCCCAAAGCCACAGCCTGGTGCAGGCAGGACTTGAACTCAGTTTAAGCCCAGAGCCTCCACTCTTAACCAGTAGTTGCTCAGCCTCACCAGCTGACCTGATCATATCGTTGTCTTGACCTATTGTTCACCCAATAATGGGATGTGTTACATTAATAGATCTTCCCGTGTTACTCAGCAGGCCGTGGGAACTTGAACCTAGGTTTGTCCCCAGAGCAGTGTGGGGAGAGCGTCTCTCTGAGGAGCAGGGACTGGAGGGTGTATTGTCTGCAGACAATTCCTTAAAAACTAAAAATCGTAGGTTTCCTTTTTACAATCACTTGCGCTGCCAATTCTGAGCAATGCATCACTGTTCCTGGTGGGAAGGACACTCTCTGTGTCCCCACCCTTGGTAACCACTGCCCCGTAGGACCACCATGCTGGTTTTAGAGCAAGTAGACAGCAGTGGCTCACAACCTGAATTAGGCAAGACAGCCTTGGATTTATATTTCGGGCACCTCTTCCATCTTCTCTTAAATGGCCTTTTTGGGGAGATTTTGGCTCTCCTCAGACCCCTCTTCCTCCTTCCCTAATCCTCCTAACTTTTCTCATTTCTCAGTTTCAGTCACATTTACTATGAGTTTTTCATCAATAAATTAATTTTTTCAATTAATACAATTAATTGGATATTCATACTGAGATTAAAAAAAAATACAGGAAAGTAACAAAAAGAAATGTGTTTACCCAAGGTAAGTACACTATGCAAAGACATCACCCCAAAGGAATGTTTGCAGCTAATAGAACTGATAAGTTTGTGGTTGGCTTAATAATGCTTTTTACATAGAGATGTTTTCCTTTTGTAGCCAAATCTCACTATATTCTCCTTTTTAAATTCCTCTTATTTTACAGCCCCAAATCCTGTATCCCACTAGGGGCTGAAAATATTTTAATTTCTTCTGATTTTTGTATGCTTTCTTTTGACAGTAAAACTCATTAATGTAGTGAGGATTTCTTTTGGTATATCGTGTGAGGTAAAGGACTAATTTGATCTTTACACCAAGAAACAAATCAATCGTTCCAACTGCATTCATGGAATTTTTTTTCTCTTCTCCATTGACTCATAGGCCTGGCCTTTTTGTAGGATAGCACCCACTTCTGGTCTGTCAGCTCTATTTCCCTGTTCTGTCTTTTCTCTTTTTTTTTTTTTTTTTAAAGATTTTATTTATTCATTTGACAGAGAGACAGCAAGAGAGGGAACACAAGCAGGGGGAGTGGGAGAGGGAGAAGCAGGCTTCCTGCTGAGCAGGGAGCCCGATGCGGGGCTCGATCCCAGGACCCTGGGATCATGACCTGAGCCGAAGGCAGACACTTAACCGATCGAGCCACCCAGGCGCCCCTCACCTATGGGTATTTTTTAAATCAGAATTGCATTAAACCTATAAAGCAGTTGATAGAATGGAAATCAGTGTAATGTCCAATCTTCCCACCCAGGAATGGCCCCTAATTTATATACCTCAGTAACCTTGGGAGTGTTCTTCTAAAGACCATGTAAATATCTCTCAAGATGCTTTCTCTAAATCCCTTATTTTTGTTTTTAATATGCAACATTATTTTTTTAAGATGTATATATTTACCTTAGAGAGAGAGAGCTGGGGGAGAGGGACAGAAAGAGAGGGAGGGAGAATACTAAGCAGACTCCAGAGCTGAGCACGGAGCCCAAAATTGGGCTTGATGCCATGACCCCCGAGATCACGACCTGAGCCGAAACCAAAAGTTTCCTTTTTACACCTAACCGACTGTGTCACCCAGGCACCCCTGCAACATTATTTTTTGGATGTTTATTTTTTATAATTTTCACTAGAAAATATTGCATAAATTCGGGCCAAGTGGTGGGTTATGTGCACGTTTACCTCCCCTTCCTACCAAGCCCTACTAAAATGACAGCAAAGGGAATTTTTTAAGACAAAAACCATAAGGACACGGGGCGCCTGGGTGGCTCGGTTGTTAAGTGTTTGCCTTCGGCTCAGGTCATGATCCCAGGGTCCTGGGATCAAGTCCTGCATTGGGCTCCCTGCCCAGCGGGAAGCCTGCTTCTCCCTCTCCCACCCCCCTGCTTGTTCCCTCTCTTGCTGTCTCTCTCTCTGTCAAAAAATAAATAAAATCTTAAAAAAAAAAATAACACCACAAGGACAAAAAATATGTGAGTCCTGTGGTCAAATACAATTTTGGGGAAGCTGGAAACACACAGACTAATGTACCTGGCCTAGGAGACCAGGGAAGCTTAGCTCTACTGCCTAAGTAATGCGGGCTTTTCATTACTTAAGCAGTGGGGAGACCCAGAAGAAAGGTGATTTTTAAATTGCTAAACCCCTTGATGGTTCAGGAAGGGCGACCCCAGAACCCCTGACAATGGGAGTGAAAGGGGGTCAGGAGATTCTTCTCTGAGAAATCTATCTGATGGGCCCCAAAAGGATCTAGATCCTAACAGATCCTACAGCTCACTAGCTGACAAGCACTTTCTCCCAGACCACACACACAGCTTCCAGTCAGCGTGGCTTTCTGCACACTGGCCGCCAAGGGGACAAGGACATGGGGTCTCAGCCTCACACAGAATCCTCCAGCCCCAAAGATTGACCCCTCGCCTGCTGTGCCTGGGATGCCTGAGGCTAGAAATTTAGTGATCCCTATTTTTGGCGATGAAATGAGGTTCTGAGGTCACAGCACTGATGGGAGGTAGAGTCAGCATTTAAGCTGGGTGATGTGGATTCATTACCCCCTCCCTGTGTGAGAGCTTCAGAGAGTTGCTCCCCACCCCTAATATTCCCCAAACTAGGGAACAAGGTGACAAGTTTCATCCAGAAACCTCCAGTCCTCCAGGGGAGAATCTGCTAAATTCTCATGTCTTCTCAGCTGCCAAGAGGACCACCGAGGGCCCCACCACCACTGCCCCCACCACCACTGGCCTCAGTGTCTTGGAAGGCCCTGGGAGCTCAGCGTCTTCACCCGTGAGTGTGGGAGCTGTGGTCATAGTGGCAGTGCCTGGTATTGTGATCAAAACTACAATTTTGGGACTGATACTCTACCTCAGGTGGAAGAGAAGCAAAGGTAAGTGGTTCTGGGCCACACCCACCACCAAGCTTCCCAACTGTGTTTCTCAGAACCACCAGCATCAGAATGATCCCAGGTGCTGGTTAAAAAATGCAGATCCCTGCTGGGCTTGAAGTCTGGGCTTGGGAATCTGCATTTTTAAAGGTCTCATCAAGTGGTGTCTGTGTGTGATCAAGTTTGAGAACCACTGCTCCAGACCAATCCCTCTCCACAAATTTGATCGTTTTCTAGTTTTTGTCTTTTGACTTAATCATTTCTCATCAACCCTCACCTTTTGGTTCATTTGGAGGGGAGGGTCGGCCCTGGGAAGAGTAAGGCGAGAACAGAAGGGACAGGAAGTTGGCTCAGCTCAGCAAGCTTTGGTTGAGGGCCTCTTTTCCAGGTCTGGCTTGTAGTTGGAGATGACAGACGTAAATAAAGCATAGGTCCTGCTTTCAAGGAACTCAGTGGTGGAGCGAGGGGAGATGGAGTGACTGCCTCATTTGGAAAGAGCTGTGGTAGGTTGGGAGAAAGGAGGGAATCAGGGAGGACTTCCCATAGGAAGTGACCCTGCAAAAAGTCTCAAAGAATATAAGAGAATTAGCCAGGCAAATGGTGAGGGTGGTGAGTAGGTGACTGTCCACGCAGGTGCAGGAAATCAGTGCAGGAACTCTAAGTAGCTCAGTGCTGTTGGGGAGGCTGGAGATGGGAGAAGAGAAGTTTGTAAATGACACCCAAGAGCCTCTGATCCCAGAGGCAACCTCAGCTCTGCCTTACAGATACATCAGTCTGTGGTGGAGGGGCCAGAGGTGGGCCAGGCGGGGCCAGTCTAATGCGGTGGTGGTGGATGGAGGGAGAGAGCCTGATCCTGGAACAGTTTAAGAAGGAAAACCAGTATGACTTGGTGATTGGACTGGTGTAGAGGTCAGGGAGTGGAAGAACTTGGGTGAGTGAGTCCATGGTGAACCACCAAGTAAATTAGAGAACACAGAAGGTCAAAGACCATGTTTGGGGGAGAACGATGGTTCTCTAGTTTGGGATATGTTAGAGATGCCTGTGTGGCATCTGAGTAGAGATGTTCATCAGAAATGTGGATATATGCACTTATAGCTCAAGAGGACAGGGCTAGAGGCATTCATTATTTAGACCCCAACACGCTCCAATATTGATTTGAAATTCCTCTGAAGAAAATTTTCAGTGAGAGGAGATTAGCCCCATCAGACATTAAAGCACAGAGGTGAAGAGCACAGACTCTGGACTGCCTGCAGTCCAATCCTGGCCGAGTAAACTCTGGTGCGATGATACTATTACTCTGTGCCTCAACTCACTCATCAGTAAAATGAGAAGAGTAATAATACTTACCCTGGGGGTTGTCGTGACAATTAAATGTAACGCATTGAGAATAGATCCTGGCACGGAATAAGGACCACATGAGCATTAGCACCTGCAAGTATTAAGCTGTAATAATTAAAATGATTCGATGCTGGGGTGCCTGGGTGGCTCAGTCATTGGGCGTCTGCTTCTCCCTTTCCCACTCCCTCTGCTTGTGTTCGCTCTCTCACTGTGTCTCTCTCTGTCAAACAAATAAATAAAATCTTTTTAAAAAAATGATTCGATGCTGTCATATTGAAACACAGATGAACCAATATATGAAAAGAGAAAAGCCTGAATATAGGCAGGATGAAACAGATCAAAATATATTCAGGAATTTAGTAGGTTAATAAGTAGCATTTCTAATCAATGGGGAAAGAGGAGTCATTCAATACGTGGTGCTGGAACAATTGAGCAGCCATCTGAGAAAATAATGTGATCTCATAATTTGCACCAAAATAAATTCCACAGAGATCAAAGAGTTAAAAGAGGGGGAAAATAACCCTAGTACTAGAGGAAAGCTTGTGAGACCATCTTATATCCATGGAGTGGAGATGGCCCCCCTAAGTATGACATAAAACCTAAAAGCCATGAATAAAAATATTGATAATGATATACAAATTGTTTCTAATTCTGCAGAGGAAAAATCACAGCAGTTGTCTCTAGAGTGAGGATGAGGGTCGGAGATGAAGAGCTGTGATAGTCATTGAGGGAATGGAAGATGGTGTTTCAGGATTCCACCCAGATGAGAAGCCAGTGCTCTGTAAAAGCATCTCTGCCCATGATCGTGTTTCCCCCTGCAGTATTCAACCATGCAGGTTTAGAAACTTCTAGAACTTGTTGGTTAGAAGTTATGTTCCTCTGCTGGCACCAGAGACCAAAATAACAGGGTTTACATAAGAGTTTCTTGTTTCCCCTCATATAAAAGGATGAGGAGGCAGATGGCAGAGGCCACTGTCCTCAGGCACTCAGGCTTCCATCTTCCTGCTCACTGTCCTGGCTACTGGCTTCTACCCTGAAGGTTGCCTCATGATCCAACATGGCTGCTCAGACTCCAGCCATTATTTCTGAATCCAGGCAGGAAACAGGAGGAAGGAAGAAAGGACAAAAAGACCACAACTTCCCCTTGAATCGTATTGGTGAGGATGTAGTCATATGTCCCACATCTATCAGGAGGGGAGCACACTGCCACCCCAAATAAAATCAAGGTTCTGTAACTGGGTAAGAAGAAATGAATGGACATTGGGTAAGCAAATAGCACCCCCACCATAGGCCACAGCCAGAATTAAAGATGTGTCAGCTAAGTGTGGCATAAGGACAGGGGAACAGGAGAGTTCAAGGAGCTCGTGAGAGGGGAGTGGAGAGTAGAGGATCAGCGGGAAGCTTGGACAGCCCGAAAGAAAGTGGATTATTAAGGCACGAGAGTTCATGGGGTCAACGCACAGGTATAGCAAGCAGGATGATGGTAAGAGAAAGCTGGAAGGAAAGAAAGTTGTAGCATAAAAATGATGCTGGCATTTAATATTTCAGAGTTCTCAGTCCCAGAGATTTAAAAAAAAAAAAAGAAAAAAAAGTCCAGGGTATGGTGGAGTAGAGGGCCCTGCCGTTTGGGGGACATAGGAGTCCTGTGTGTTCAGAGGGTTGTCTCCGTGCATGACAGGACCTCCCAGGATGGTGTTAGGTGGTGGAGGGGATGGCTGTGAAACAGAGGCCAATCCTTGGGAAATGTCGCAGAGAAATTCAGGAGGATGAGGAGGGAAGGGGGTGGTGGGGGGACTGGCGGGTTTCAGTGGCAGAGGGTGGAGGGGAACGGGCTGCAGCTCAGACCCAGGTCCCCGCCATGAGGTTCACAAGGCAGGAGAGAAATAGCCATCACTCCCCTTGCACTGTCTCACCCCGTTCTCCTTCCTTCTTGCCAGAATGAAGCCCAGGACAACAGCGGCATCCTCTACACCTCCCTCACTCTCTCTAGCTCCTCATCACCGGCAGCATCTCCCTGCATCCCTCCCAAGGAGAGCCCCCAGGAGGAGACCCTATATTCTCTCATAAAGGCCTGATGAGTGGGACTGAAGGACGACCTCCTTAGACTAAGCTGCCCAGCGGGTCACAGCTTCTGATAATAACCCCGGCCAGACACAGAAGACTCAGAAGTCAGCAGGTGTGGAAGGCCACCAAGGACCGCAGAAAAACAGAGCCATCTGCTCCAACTCCCTCTCTGCCTTCCCAGCCCTTGCCCACAAGAATAAAAGTACCTAGAATTTGCCGCAAGGCTCTAAGGAGAAAACTGATGGCACCTTCCACTTCTCTCTTTCCCTTCTCGCCAAAAATGAACTATAATAAAGAGCTCACACCTGAGATCCCTCCCCCAGTCCTGGAGTTCGGTGACTGCCTTGGGGCGGGGAACAGTAAACCCGGAACGCTGGTAGCCAGCCCAGAACCCAGGGTCTGCCCCTCCTCTACCCATTCTCCTTCCCCTCTGATCAGAACGAGCATGTGTCAAGTGCACCACCACATTAAGCATCTCCAACAAGCTGAGCCGGGACTGGACGCACTCACCCCCCCGGACGGCCTTCTCCCAGGACTCGGGTGTCCCCGCCTTCCCAGATCCCTATACTGTGCCGGCCTTCCATGGAACAGGGACCTGCCACAGGGAGCAGACAGGAGGGAGGGAAGCTGAAGGGAAGCATGTGGTTAGAGACCAATTGCGGAAAGCCGTAACCTGTTTTATTAACACAGAAACTGCACAGCTGGGACTTCAGCCAGGTGACCTGTAGCCGATGAACAAGCCCCACCCTTAGCAGCCTCTCAGGGACCCTCTGAGGGGCTCTCCCTGCTGCTGGCAGGGAAGGGGGTGAGAGAGCAGCAGGGAGGCAGGTGCACACAGCTATTCCTCGAAGAAGGCCAAGGTGAACTCCCCAGGGTCATCTCCACACCGCGGCCCCTCCAGCTGCTCCGGCTCTCTTCCAACATCTTCTAGGAGTTGCTCCAGGTCCAGGTCACTGGAGGTGTCATCGTCAGGGGGGACACTTCCAGCCTTCTTCCCCCCCCCCCCCCCCCAGGGGACAGACCCCGCGATGAGCTGGTGGGGTCAGGCCCTTGAGCACCATTCTAGCTTCTTTGTCCTCAGACAAGCTGGTTCCTGTGGCCTTGTTTTGGGGAGCTTCTTGTTATCCAGTCTGTTATGTTTTTCTTCCTCCTACAGCTTTGACACATCAGCTCTCATCCCACCCTGGGATCCGGGCCCCAAAGCCCTCTGGCAAGACACCTGGAGCTTCCTGTAGGAAGAGGTGAACAGGGAGGGCTTTGAGTAGTACCCTTGTGTTTGCAGAGTGAACAAGATACTGGAACTTCTCCAAGGCTGGGCAGGGACTGAAGTCCTGGGGAAGGAGTCAGAGCTGGGCCACAGGTAACAGATGCCCAGAGAAATCAGGAAAATAGCATGTATTTATTACATGGCGTTCACAGACAAAATACCAAGCTCTGAAGCATTCATAGAAGCATTTTTCTTAGTTTCTGCTCTCAAGGGGCACAGTGGGGAGGGGACATTTCCAGAAATAATGACCAACACCAGTCATACCTACTGCTAAGTGAATAATACAGAGAATGCATTACAAGAGTTTAAAGTAGGGGTGGAAAATTCAGAGGAGGCTTTTCTGTAGGAGGTGAGCTGAATTGAGCCTGGATGATTGGGATGGTACAGAAGAGGGAGGACAGCAGGAGAGCAGGCCTGTGGGAGAAGAAGGCAGGTGAGTCTGGCAGGCAGCAGGCAGTCCCAGCAGAGCTGAAGCAGTTTGTCTTAGGACTGGGAAAGAAAGTTTGTGTTATTTGTAGGCAATGTGGAGCCCCTGAATATTTGTGAGTAGAAGCATCTAACCATATGGGTCAAGTTTTCCCAAGAGGTTACACAAAAGGGAAGCTGGAAGAAACTTCTAAAAGTACAATCATTCTGGGCCCCACCCTCTAAGGCTGCTTTCCCACAATTCCCGTGGCCTTTCTAACGGGTCATTTCCACCAGTGTTTGTATCCACCCAGGACTCCTCTTGTTGCGAATGAAAGCAGAAAGCAGCTTAGGCAGCAAAGTGGGGGCTTAGCCCAGGTGACTGAAGGAAGAATGCAGAGATGGGTCTGGCTTTCAGAGAGCAAACTTGTCTGTCTCAGGATGTTTCTCTTAACTGCTCATTTCTGCCCCCTACTGTTCAGCTTCAGCCTCAGCCTCCACTTGACCCCAGAGCCCATGGGCTCTTCCCACAAGGTGGCAAATAACTTCTCCTCTCACGTCCGTTTTTAAAGTTTTTATTTAAATTCCAGTTAGCTAACATAACAGGGTAGTATTGGTTTCAGGTGTGCACATCGTGATATATGTGACTATAGTGATTCAACACTTCCGTACATCTCCCATGTCAGTCTTTCAGGAAAGAACTAGACTTTTTCCCACTAGCTCCAACAAAACCCCTAAGAATGCCCATCCTGGAGACATCAGTGTGGCCAAAGAGATGGGTTGCTCTAGATGACTAGACCTGAGTCGTGGGCAGAGGACCATATTCTGGAAAGTAAGTCAGGACTGGAGTTTTTATTTGTACAAGTTGAAAGTGCATAGTTCTAAATAACCCCCATCCACTCCTTTTTCATCCTCCCTACAGCCCTGAAGCTGTTGGATCTACATTCCACATATCAGATGGGGCCCCTGATGGCCCCGGAGACCACTCAGGGCACAGTGCTGCATTGGTGGGCCCACAGCTGGCCCCTGTACTCTCTCCACACACCAGTAACCTCCCAGCACTCTGTGGTCCAGAAGCTAGAAAATCTGGCCAAGGGCCCCCACACCATGGTAGTTCTGAGGCTGGGTCCCCATATTGCCACCTTCACTCCATTTATCTTTATCTGGTGACTGGCAGGGATCTGGGCAGCTGTGGCTGAATTGTTGGCCCGGAACTCTGCACTCTGTGGTCATCAAACTGGCCAACACCAACTACAAGTCTGTGCGTGGCAGCTACTGGTTCACCCTCTAGGTGAACCGGTTCCTCTGAGCTGCCTTTGGTGGACACCAGGGAAATAACCCCCAGTCAGGCCCTGCCTCATGGCATCCACCCAGGGTGGCTCATCATCTGCAGCAAAGTGGACTTGCTCCTTTCCTTCATCTGCCACACCTGAGTGCTTCTGCGGGTTCTGGGACTGTGTGGATGGAGGGCCTGGGACACAGTTGTGAAGAGGACCAGTGCCATAATAGGATTTCTAGGAAAAGAGCAGGTGCCACTGACTTCTCTTGCCTGGAAGACCACAATAGCTTCCTAACCAGTCCAGCTGATTCTATTCTTGCCCCACTCTGACCACTTCTCCTCTCAGAACAAGAGCAGTTACTTTAAATGAGACCAAGTCATTAGCCTCCTCAGAAGCCAAAGCTTTCCATCTCAGTATAAATCCAAACCCCTAACTGTGGTCCATGATGGCCTGGCTGAACTCTGCATCCTCATTTGTTGTCACTCTCCTCTGGCACTCTGCAGTCCAACCCCATGCTCTTCTTGCTGCTCAAGCAGGTCAAACCATCCTGCCTCAGGACCTTTATACCTGCTGTTCCTGTGCCTGGAATGCACATCTGCCAGATCCTCATATGGTTGGCTTTCTTCCCATTCAGTTCCCTGATTAAAAATGATCTCCTCAGAGGCTTTCCCTGACCACCTTAAATAAAAGAGGCCATCTTCCCATCCAGGCACTCTACCCCCATCTTTCCCTCCTTTTCTTTCATATCACTAAACACAATCTGTAATTATTTGGTTTACTATTATTAGTTGTCTTTCTGTCTCTGTAGAATGTAATCTCCATAAGGAACAGGGAGTTTGTCTAGCTTGCTCACTGTTGCATCCCCTTGAGCTAGGGCAGTGCTTGAATCATTGCAGGTGTTAAATATTCCTCAAACGAACAGATGGATGAAAGTCAGATGACTAAGGTCTTACTTCTATGCCCTGCACCTTCTCTCAGCAAGCCTCCATCTTATGAGAAATAAGCAATTGGCCAAAGTACCCCCCGTGTTGCAGTTGCTAGTTACCAAATCTGCATGATTATCACTATTAAGGATTCACATTTACATTAGGGCTTTATGATTTTCTCTGCAGTTTCCTATTTTTATTTTGGACGACCCTCCCAAGAACATTCTCCCATTCTACGGGGGCCCCAAGAGGTGGCACACGGCTGAGCCAGTCCTTGGTCCTAGTCTGGTTGCAGAACCAGTGATACAGATGACTGTCCTCGCTGGAAAACCAGCCTCTTGCAAGGGCTGGAAGCGATCACCCCTGACTCCTCTGACTCGGCTGACAGGGCGGTTCCTCTGGTCTTCTGGACGTCAGTTCCCTGGCTGAGGGGCTTCCCTGACCACCCTAAAGGGGGCTCCGTGACCAGGCACGACCACGTCCGCAGTGGCTAGGACCCTCTTCCGGCTCCTCTCCTGGGCCACTGGGTCTTCGCTCAGCGCTTGCCATGAGTCTTCGTCTCCGTTGCGTTCAAACACATCGCCCACCACCACCACGGTGCCCAGGGCCGTGCCCGCCACCACCACGCTCACGTCCCGCTGGCCCCCATGGCCCGGCGTGGCCCACACCTCGAGCCCCGGGCCCAGCTGCAGGGGCCGCTCCTCACCTAGCCCGTGGGGGAGGTAGCGGCCCCCGGGGAGGCAGAAGTCGTGCGAGACCAGCAAAGCCGCCCCGGGAAAAAGCCCCAGGTTCCCGATGTGATCCGAGTGTCCGTGGGTGCCCACCACCAGAGTCACGTCTCCGGGGGCCACGCCCTGCGCCGCCAGGGCCCCCAGGAGCGCCTCCCGAGCCCAGGGGCCCCCAGTGTCCACGAGGATGGGGCCACGGGCCACCTCCTCCAGGGCGGTCTTCGCCCCGCCGCCCTCGGGCGGGGACTCCCGGGTGCCGGAGGCCGAGCTCCAGGCCTGAGGCAGCACAAGCGTCACGGAGCCGTCGGCGCGTACCGCACCGTCGACCCCCTCGGGCTCCGCGTAGCCCTGCAGCAGGACCACCACGGAGTAAGGGTCGCCGCTCACTAGCAGAGGCGGCTCCCCGGGCAGCGGCTCGGTCCGCACCAGAGCGCTCATGGCAGGATCGGGACGGCTGGGGAAGGGAAATGGGGATGTGGGCGGCTGTCCAGTCCCTTCGGGTTCCCACGTGCGCCCTGCCTCCTCCAAAGTAGCACCTTCCGAGTCTGTTCTTTGCCACCCCCTTCGCGCCCTTAAGATGGTATCGCCCCAACGCCCTTCCGCAGATGGTATCGTCCAAGCTGCCCTGAGCCTGAACCCGCCAGTCCCTCAGGGTCTTCGGCCGTCGCCACACTTCTCATGCGGTAGGTCCTCACCCATCATCCCCCAAAGGATATCCTCTTTATTTCCCTCATTCTAACCGAGACGCTCCCCGCCTTGGACCTAGTTTCACCGCTTCTCCTACTGCCGGCCCCACTCCGGAGTTAGCGCGGCCCTCGGAAAAGCGCGCGAGATTTTGTCCTCTGCGAGCTCCCGTAAGCCCAGGGTATGGTGGCCGAGCCGAACGCTGATTTTTAATTCCGGTGCATTCTCCCGCACGCGCCGAGAGGGGTTGCGCGGACCCGCGCCTAGATGTTTATCAGCCGGGCGACCCCTGCCAGCCTCCCTGGACTGCAAATTACAAAGCACCATTAGCTTCTAACAGCCGGCGACCAACGGCTCTGTTCTCTGGGCGCTGCTATATCGGCCAGGTATGATGTGTGCAGGACAGCTGTTTGAAACTACGGGCCCAGGTGATATTTAAAAAATTTTTTACTAGCGCTGTAGAAAATTTGGCACCTGTGAAATTACATGGTGGGCCCTCGGTGAAGTTAGTATGAAGCAGACTAAATATCTACCCCACCTAACTTATCAACATCGCCCCATCCTCATAGTGTCCCCTTCTTGTTCAGTTTGTTGGCTTGTAGCGTAGACTCAGGCAATGTGTATTGGTCATAGAGAATGTCCACGCTGGCTTCTTCTTGTAAGGGTCTAGAAACAGACCCCGAGGGCAGAGTGCCTTTTTCCCGAGACCCACAGCTCCAATGCCTTCACTGACCTCTGGGTCGGGTGGGGAGTAGGAGAGAGATTTAAAGGGGGAAAGTCTTCAATACTGTCACCACACACACACCTGCCAATTAAGGGGCCAGATGGCAGGCAGAGGACTCATCTGTTGGAGCAGGCCTTCCGCCTACTGCTCCCACCTTTGTCCCCACAGCCATGCCATGCTGCACCACCAGGATCCTGCCTGAGACCAGACAGGAGAGAACAGCTACAAGCTCACTCACGCATACACACACACCCTTATGTGGAGCAGGGAGAGCTCAGACTTCAGAGGGTTCTTCTCCATGACTCCTGCCCCTTCCTGGGGGCTCAAAGGCAAGAGTCAAAGGTCCTCTGGGTCATGCTTGGAGTGCCCTGGTGTGTTGATCATCTCTTCCTCCTCTTCCTCTTCTTCCTCCTCCTCCTGATCTTGCTCCTCCTCCCCTTCTGTCTTCTCTTGCCCATCCGTGATCTTCTCCTTTCCGGTCCAAGTTTCCTGTAGACACGCTAGGTTGGGTGACAGAAAACAATTTAGATATTAATCTGGGGGGTAGAGGAGGTTGGGGCCTGGCAGGAAAGGGGCCAGCCCCACACACTTACCAGTCTCAGCAGGGGGGAGCACATGACCTTCACAGAGAAAATGCTGTAGGGGCTGCTCCTGATGATGGAAGTACCAGTCTCCCACGACATCTTCAAACTCCTCCAGCATCGTCTCACACTGATCAAGTGGAAGGGTCAGAAAGGTATCTACTCTGCTGGGCTTTGGAAACGCTCCTCTCTGCTCTTCACTCCTGTCTGCCCACCCCATCCTAAAGAGCAGGTAGCCAGGAGGCTAAACTTGGCGTACGAGATGGTAATCCTCATTCATTCAACAAACATTTACTAAAACCTGTTCTGCCAAGTAGGCTATTAAACTCTTATGTCTCAACTCCTTGCCTATAAAATGGGAAATGGTAACAGTACCTACCACATGAAGTTGTTGTGAGGGTAAAATGGGGCAGCAGCTGGAAAGTATGTGGGCCTGAATCTGGCACATAGTAGGTGCTCAATATGTGGTAGTAGATATTATCAGCCTCCATTATTACTCCTTGATATGCTCCTGGGCCCACTTCAATCAATGACAGTCTTCACTCTGCCCCCTTCTCCTGCTCAGAGGCTGAATTCCCAAGTATCTAGGTCTCCCCTCAGGTTCCCTTCTCATTGCCCCAGGCAGTGCAGTATCCTGTCCTACCTGCTTCTTGAGGAACGTGACTTCCACGCTGGGCTCGTCCCATAGCTCCAGAGGGATCCCCAGATCCACCTTCACCCCCTTCTGCACCAGACCTTTCAGCGTTGCCATGGTCTGACTCTGACCCTGAGAGAGAGGAATTTGGGATCAGCCCAGCTCACTGCCCCACCTCATCCTTCCCCTTTCTGCCACAGCAGGTTTGTCAACTACCAGAGACTCCATGAGGGAGTCTAACAATGGGGAGGGGAACATTCTCCAGAGCTGGAGGGAGATGGGTCCCAGGGGATACCCGTTGTTGTTTCTGAAACGTGGGATGCTGCCCTAGGGAAGAGTCTGACCTTGGCATATCTCAGTGAGCCCTTGCGCTCGGCATGAACACTGTAATCCAGGATCCGCTCACACAAATTCTCCAAGGCCTCTTCCAGCCTTGTCTCTCTGTGGGAAGAGGGGAAACAAAGATTTCTTGGATGCTGTAGGAGCTCCCAGGGCTCCCTCAGGGGTCAGAAGGTAGATGAGCAACAAGAAGAACTCACGAAACACTGTAAGGGATGTGTTTCTTTCTCTTGCCAGTGTCTAGCACCTGCCCCAGCTCCAGCATCTCTCGAGATTGGCCAGTGCGACTCAGCTTTTCCTGTAGCTCCAGGCTCAGCAGCTTACACACTAGATGTCCACAAGGATGTGAAAGATAAACAAACATTCCAGCAACTCATTCTGTAGATGAGCAAAAGCAGCAGACTAGAGCCAGACTGGCTGGGTTAGAATCCTGACTCAGCCACTTAATAGCTATGTGGTAATTCTGCTGTGCCTTGGTTTCTGCATCTCTAAAATGGAGATAACAATATAGTTGAACCTCCTTTATAGAGGTGTGGTGAGGATTAAATAAATCAACCTCTGTAAAGCCCTTATAATAGTGCGTGGCATATAGGGAGCACTTTATAAGTGTTTGCTTTTATTCAGTTATTTATTGAGCTCCTATATGCATGAGAGCAGTAAGACCCATGATCCCTATTCACGGGACATTGCTGATGTAGTTGGGGACAGATTAAAAATGATGACAGTGTGGTGTGATGGGCCCTACACTAGAGGTTCACAAGAGATTTAATCTCTTTAGGAAATGCAAAATTCAGTCAATGGTCATTTACTGAATTGCTGCTAGCTTGTGATTTCCTTAAGGATGAGCATTGCGTATGTTCCACCACTGTCTTCCAGCAACTAGCACCTGGCCTGGCATGAGGTGGGTCCCAAGAAAGGGGGGGCCTATACGGAAATGCCAAGCAAGTTAAACACAGGGCAAGTTAACAAAAGTGCCTTAAATGTTCCAGGCACTATGCTAGGACCTCGGAGATACAGGTGCTCTTCTTCCCTCCAAGGGCTTACAATATAGCGGGAGGTGACAGAAAAGGAAGAGGGCTTCCAAAGGAATTGTCATCTAAACTGGGTCTTGAGAATCAAAAACAGAAGGGAGAGGGTTATTTCAGGCAAAGGGAAAAAGTGTGCTTAGGCACAGAGTGCAAGAGGATAAGGCAGGCTCAGTGACAGCTGAGAAGTTCAGTGTGGCTGAATCATGGGCACTTTGAGGATGGGAGTTGAGACAGAAATATAAGAGCGGTGGGGGCCATACAACAAAGAGACTTCTATGCTGTGCCAAAAATGGGTGTAGTCTGACCACAGCAGGAGGCCTGCAGAGGTGTTAGAGCAAGGAGGAGAGGTGAGGTAGGCTCAGGTCATGCGGAACACCAATACTGAAATGCAGGGTGGAGTGGGGTGAAAGGAAAAAGAATCCAGGGAAGAAATTAAAGTCAGGAAGGCAACAAACTAGGGAACCAGGGAACTCAACGGCCCAGCTCTGAAGTGTTTCCCCTCCACCCCACCCAGTCACCACCGTCATGCAGCCACATAAGATGCTGCTCACAGTAAAATCTGTAAGTACACACCCTCTGCAAAGCCTCACACGTATGGGGAACCTCCTCCATTTCTGTGGCCTCCTCTTTTTGAGCTTCAAGGCCTTATTTACTTACCCCAAACCCTCCCCAGGAGAGCATGGGACCTGTAATTTGAGAGCGTCTCTGCAAGGGTGGAGCAGAGGACGTTCATAAGGTATGAGCCTCACACCCAGCTCCTGCAGGCTCCCCAGGTTTAGGTTTAGTGTCATGGGGGAAAACACACTTTTAATGTTCAGTAGAGTGGGTGATCCTGGGCAGATAGTCTCTGAACTACAGTTCCCACAGATCACTGGGGCTACGCAAGCGAGAAAAAGAGGACTTCCTCTGGATGCCCTATGGGAATTGTAGTGCCACAGTTGTGGGGTAGCGCTATGCATTCCCTCCCTTGACCCCCTTCGAATTCAGCCAAGCTCCATCAGAATCTCCCTCAGGTCTTAAAGGACATCGAGTGACCCACCCATCACGGTCCATTTGGTCCGGTCCAGACTAAGGAGATGGGCAAAGGGATGTGAATAGGGGCCACTCCCTTTAGATACCTTCGCATTTGCTGGGCAAGCGTTCTGTGTCATCGTCCTCCTCCTTCGGCGACCCAACCCAAGCGCCATACACAGCCAAAATGAAAAGCAACATTCCCAACCGCACAGGTCCCATGACAAAGTGCTGTCCACAACCAACAAGCCCTTGCCTTCACACCAACTTCGGGAAGGCAGCGGGCCCTTTAAGTTCCGAGGGGGTCGGAGGGAATTTCCAGCCAGCCTGGCTTGGGCGGCGCACGCGCAGTCCCGGTCCGGAAGGGGGTGGAGCCTCATTGCGCTCCCAGCTATCCCGCCTCGGTTTTGTGGCGCTTCTTAGGGTCCTGGCCGCGGGGTAGTTAAAGTATAAACTGAAGTAATTGCAGCAGGAGGGTGTGCTCCTTGCACGTAGAGAGAAAAACCCGTTTTTTATACCACTTCAGGCCGTGAGCCTAGGAGACTCAGTCCGGCTCGCGGAAGGGGCAGTGACTTCCTCCCCGTCTCTGCCAGGACCTGCTCCCGTGAGGGGGCGGGGCCAAGATGGCGCCGAGCGCCGGGTGA